TATGAAAATATTTATCTAATAAATTGTAATAATAAAAAGCTTCGACATAATATAAATCATCCAATATTTACTTTTGTGTAAGAATAATAAATGAAGTTGAATACAATGTAAGTAGAGTATCTTCAGTTAGTAAGTCAATAAAAAATTTAATTCTTTGCTAATTTACTTTCCTCAGTTCCAGGAAAAAAAAAAGAAAAACCTAAAATTTTAGTATGAAATTTAAAGTTAAAGTAATGATACTGGATAAAATTTACGTTAATTATTTTTACTTTCCATTGCTACAAATAGAGAAAAGAAACAGCCTTAACAACAAGAATACCTGAAAAAACTTGAAACCCATTTATTTATAATTAAGTAAGCTAAATGAGAAAATAATATAAGAAATTTCTAACAGATATCGAACTTAACAATTCTTGCAATTACAGTTTCGTAAACCCTTACTAAAGTGTTTAAAGTCTATTAGATTGTACACGTAGGAAAATATAAATAGATCTGGTGAAAGTGGAAAGCAATGTAAATCAATTTTGTATTAAAAGCTTTTAAAGTAAGCACGAACACACTCCAATTCACTTCCAAAGATTAAAATCGTACTGAATACTTTTTTATTATTTTGCACGTTATAGAATATAAATCAAAACAATACCAGAAAATATCTCAAATAACATAAACCGATATTTAATATCCAATTTATATAATGAAAAGTTTATCCATTAGAAATTTATAAATATTCAATGCCGACACGCGATATTTCCTGATTAATTTATTCATTTCACGATTACGACGTTCAAGCAATGTAAAAGGAAATATTCAATACAGTAGAGCGTCGTTTATCCGAACCAATTAAGGACTGAGGTTGTTCGGATAACTTATTTTCGGATAACCGATTATGCACGAAAAAATATCCCGTGTTGAAATTTTTCTCCATTGCGTGTCGCTTTGCGTTGAATTTTCGTCGATGTTAAGCCTAACGTAAACTTTTTAAAATAATAATCGTGGTTATTGTATCGTTAAAAATTATTTCTTTATCTTTTACAAACAAAATAAATATATTAAAAAATATAAAAACAAAAAAAAATTACACTTTAGAAGTTAATCTAGTATCAAAAACGTTCGATTCAGCACGACATGCAGTCCTCAGAAAAACACTACATAAAAGTGCCAGTGCTGCCAGCTAAAACACACATCAACCAAAAAAATATTGGAGTAGTTCAAGATATAGCCAAAGATTGCAGCGCCACAGCACTAGCGAAAATTTAAATTTGCCGACTGGAATGCTTTCGTTTAACCGACGTTTCGGATAACCGACTTACGGACAAACGATGCTCTACTGTATTATTAATTAGAGAACTGTTGTTATTCTGCCACAATTTCAATAAGTGAGAAGTACTTGAATATGAAAATTATTAAAATACTTATTTTAATGAAGAAAACCTTATAATTGATTTATTAGTTGTTCACACAAGGGTGACACTAGATGTTTCTTTTCTCTTAAATTAGAATAATTATAATCAGTTCAATTGATTTTGAGGTGATATTTTTCAAACAGATGTTATTTTCATTTAACATTATCAACTTTAGCTTTTTAACCCGTACTCAGTGGAAAATTGTCTAAATATTCTAAATAATTAACCATAACAAAAAACTGGTTAAAGACTCAATGTAATGACAATTTCTTCGAAGAATTCTGTGAAATAATAAAGACAGTGAAAGGTGAGCGTTTAATGAAGTAATTTCTTTATGTGACATAAAAGAACATGGCACTGTCATAAAGCAGAGTGCCGAATATTTTCTTTGAAATGCATAGTTTCAGTTTATTGCTCGTGTATTGCTTTTGGCATGTAGATGCATTTCGATTAAACAATTCTTAATAGCAATTCTCAGTTTCGAATACAGTAGAGCGTCGTTTATCCGAATCAATTGGGGACTGGGGTTATTCGGATAACTTATTTTTCGGATAACCGATTATGTTCGGAAAATTATATTAACCTATGCAGTGATGAAATTTTTCTCCGTCGCGTATCGTTAAAAATTATTTCTTTATTTTGTACAAACAAAATAAATATATTGAAAAATATAAAAACAATTTTAAAAAATTATACTTCAAAAGTTAATTTAGTATCAAAAACGTAAAATATTTGAGTAGCCCAAGACATAGCCAAAGATTGCAGCGCCACAGCACTAGCGAAAATTTAAATTTGCCAACTGGAATTCTTTCGGATAACCGACGTTTCGGATAACAGACTTTCAGATAAACGACGCTCTACTGTAATGCGTTGACGTATTCTGTATGGCAGAGTCGATTCTATCAGAACCTGTCATAAATTCTTCCACAGATAACGCGTCTTGGAGCAGAAATACGAATTTATTTTTCAAATTACGCTGGAACCACTAAATGTATCTTCATGATTGTGCTCCTGTGTTAAAGTGTACGTTAACAATACATTATAAAATTGCAGTTACTCACTTTCTGAAATTATAAACAATAAAGTGTGTCTATTGTCGTGTTTTTTAATGGTCTCAGAAAAGGGATCTTTTTCAAGAGACATCATAATTTGATGCATTGCCCGAAAAGCAAAAGGCTAAGAGTTTAACTACTTGGCAATCGAGTCTTATGGCTAATCAACTAACATTTTACATAAATAAATGTGATGTAATTTAAAATTATTATAGAATTTATACATCTACGCAACTACTTATGATTAATTACTTCATAATTTATTGAATAACACTGAAAGAGTTTCAATATAAAGTTACATGGTGTTGCGAAAAATTTTAAATACTGTATTTAAATGATTTAACATGAAACCGCTCGAACCGAAGTCTCCAGCAAATAACCAATAACATGAAAAAATTTTCCTAATTACACTGATTAACGATATCGGGCTATAGTTCAAAGGAACGGAACATCTACCATTCTTGTATATCATTTTTAGGCAAATATTCTATCAAATTGTAAAAAAAAAAAAATGGTTTTAAAAAATTTAAATAAAAAGTAACTATTCTCGAAATATAACAGAAACTAATGAGTGATATTTAGCCATTGGCTCATTAGACTTCGACGAATGTTTACTAAAATAACACCATTCCTTGTTTTCAAGGCGAAGTGTTGTTTTTATCAGTTATTTCGGCATGAGTTGCTAGGCGATATCGCCCCGTGGTAGAGTGTGGCGTAATTGTTAATAAATCGTAGTTGTATGCGTTTATGATGGTTGTTACGCGAGGAATAATTCTTTCTAGGAGTTCTTTCAAGGGTGACTAGTTCCAATTAGTCGTTACAGAGGTGGACAAAACCTATAAAACTCCACGTGGACAACCCGTCCGGGCCAGACGCGATACCACGACCGAACTACAAATGTTCAGGAACGATACCGCTTGGTCACTGATGGGCTTCAAGGATGAGTTAGCCCCATCAGAGACAACAACCACCTCGTGCGATCACAAAGGCGCTGAAGATTTATAAGACAAACACAGGCGAATAGACTTAAATCGTGTCTATTGGAAATTTTTGTGAACAGTTATTCGTAATTACTCTAAAATGTACCATAATTTCTAATTGCATTATTAATTTTTCATTATTCTTTTACGGAATAATTCTGCAAATAAGCACATTAAAGCTAGAAGTAATCCAACGGAAAGCAATATCATTGGACTAATGATGTCACCCAATTGTAATGCTTGGAATTCTGAATATTTCAGTAACTTTGATGTTTCCGAATAATCTTTTTTCTCCATAATTCCAGCTTCAAATAAGCGTATTATACTATTAAAAAATATGTTTTTAATTACTTCATAATAGAAAACGTCATACAGGTAAACAGAAAGTAATCTTACGTTTTACTTAATTCCTTTTTAAAGGGAAATCCCTTTCTTACAGCATAAGACTGAATAAATGTGACGAGAACATCTGAAGAAATTGAATATGCGTGTGGTTCTTTTTGCGTTAGTATATTTGTGCCATATTCAACCGTTATCATAGCAAAACGTTCTTTCTTAACTTTTTCGCTTGCTGTCGATAAAGACAAGAAATGGTTGTGACGTAAAATATGATCTTTAAAAATTCTATTCCTTTTCTTGCCGGAATTCTTCAAATAATATGCAAGAAACAAAATAATTAAATATATTACAAGTACTAAATGCAACAATTGTTATACAAAGTGTCCATAATTAAAGTATTCTTATTCAGTGCACTCTGTAGCGGTATCCAATAACCGAATCCCTTAAATTCATATACAAATTATGCAACGAATATTAAAAAGTGTTTACAAAAAAATGTTAAGTTAAAAATGTTCCGGGCAGTTGACAGAAAATATACGGCTAGAAACACGTTAAACAACAAACATTAACGTTAATTTACAGTTTAATGTTATTTTAAACATTACAAATGAAGTCGCTGAAAACAATGACTTGTACAAGATATTATACCTGAATAATAGAGCACACATTGAGCAACATTCCTTACATCAGTAAACATATCATGCAGAAGGTATGTTTCTTGCTTTAAGTATAAGTACGTTTTACATGTGTTATTGATGTTCTCTTTCCTATGGTTCCTGGAAAGCATGTAAAGTACACCCTAGCGAAACTTTTGAACTAAATTTTTTCTTGGAAAATTCTCTTCTCCATTTTTTACATAGTCTGTATTCAAAGTTTCGTGCCAATAGCTTATATTTTTACAGATACAGATGCTCTGAATAGAGAAACTTTAAAGGCCTCAGCATACCGCAGTAGGGAATCCGGGCCAACAACTCCCAGGAATTTTCCATGGGCGGTAAGTCCCGGCGATTGGCCCAATGCGAACCTGGCCGAACCCACAAAAGGTAAAGAAAAAAGGCCAGGTGAGGCCCCTTCACAATCGACACAATAAGAGAAAACATAGCATTAGTTTTCAATGTTGTAATTATTATATTATAAATTTTTTTCCGACATCCTGCGCATGCTCTCATTTTTAAACATAAGTGACGTTCAATGTAGTGACAAATAAATAAATGACGTAACAATAAGTGACGTTTTAATTGCCCATGCGCCGTATTCATTCGCAGTCGCCATTGATTGTAAAATGGTCGCGTTTTTTGTATTATCCTCTGTTTTGCTGTTACAAGTAAATTCAGGTAACAAAATATTAATTAAAAGTTAGAATATAATTATTTATTTAAATTTCAAATTTAATTTCAAATAGTGTTAGTTGCAGCGTGATTAGAATTACTTAACTCTAATGATTTAGTTCATTCGTATACGGATGGGCCACGTGTCGACGAGGGGGGAAGTGTCTTTTATTAGAAACTGGCCCCAATTTAGGTGTTAAAACGTGAGGAAAACCGGGAAAATTCCACGTGGCTGGTCCGTGGTACAGGCGCGAACCCACGTTCCGGTGGTTTTATCCATTACCAATGGTAGGCCCTTAACTGTGATATACTTCGCAATTAAGAATTTAATTAATAAAACCATTTTAATTAGCTAATATTTAAGTTTCATAAAGTGTTTTTTTATCTCCTGACGTACATTCTACATATTTTAGAGGGGTTAATTTAATTTTGTAGCTCTTTCTATGATCTGTTATTGGAAGAAGAGGATGCGAACATCCTCATTAAACGATATTTTATATATTTTCCAATTAATTTTTATATTGATATCCTTATTAATAAATTAAACCAGAATGTCTGAATGCCCTGAGCGAAGTCAGAACGATTCTTTTTTTTTTATTCTTTAATATTTAATTTTCAATTCTAAATTATTACAGGTTTTGCTCTAAACGAGCCAATAAAGATCATATCAAAGTCGGGTAAAGACGTGGTCCTCCCTTGCAAGAAGTCGCACGACGATGATATTTACTTAGTGCAGTGGCATAGAAAGGGGAACTTCACGCCAATTTATGTGTGGTTTGAGCAATGGGCTCCTTATGTTGATAAAAAATACGAGGGAAGAGTCGAGCTTAGCGGAGAAGCTTCCTTGAGCCTTAAGAAAGTTAATAAAGAGGATGAAGGCATTTTCGAATGCCACGTCTTGTCACTGGATAACGGAGAAACCCAAGTAAACACTACGAAAGTAATATTAAAAGTAAAAGGTATCGTCACCAAGTATGGTGAAAAATTTCGATTTTTATGTTAATTTATAGGTAGGGTGGCCGAAAATTTAGTTAACAGACAATATTTTAAAAGCCTGTGAGTAGAAAAGGCTAATATAGGTTTGACCAAATTCATGAGGGACATAAACCAGAGTTTTAAATAATCATTCCCACAATAGCGGTGTGGCCAAATCTATGATAGATTCACCCAAGTCCTCCAGCCTAGGAGACTGGCACTTTAATTACTTGGCCATTTGGCCATCCTCAAAAACTGAGTTAAAGCTCGTATATTTTAAAACAGTTAACTAAATTTTGGGCTGCTCGGTATATTCATTTTCTAAATATTCTACAGTAGACCCCTCCTATAACACCGTTGATAATTCCGTGTTATATGAATTCCACGTTGTACGAGTCACTTAAATTTTACAAATACGTGTGCCGGGCTGTGAACGGCTCACGTATTTGTAAAATCTAAGTGACTCTTACAACATGGAATTCATATAACACGGAATTATCAACGGTGTTATAGGGGGTCTACTGTATCTAACAATATTTTCGAAACTTTATTTAATACAATTGATAATAGATTAATGGTATTATTTCTTGTAGATTTGATGCCAATGACAACGATTATAACCAAATCTGTGCCAAAAAAAGGTAAATTTCACTACAAGAAAGAAATTGTTCAACCTTAGCGCTTGACATTCAATTCAAAGGCATTTAATTATTTCGATATATCATACCATTTATAAAATTATGTATAATATATAAACTATTATATAACAATTATATTCATCACAAAATAAATGTTATTACCTAAGATAACACCAGTCGTGAGGGTTCCGGATTCGAATCCCATATAGAACTGCACAATTTGTTACGGATAATGCGGTTCGAACCATTGTTTTCCCGTGTTGGTAAAATCCATTACTGGTATGTATTTGGAAAAATTGCGTGTACCATGACAGATGTTTGTGTCTGGCGCTAAAAGATCAAAGAAGATAATGAAAATTTACCATTACGATACGTTTTATTGTTTAAAATTTGGTATATTTTTGTACTTTTTGAAATGTATTTTCATTTATATAAGAATAAATATACTGTGTTTCATTTTGCATCAGAATTGTGTCTTTCGTGTCATTTCATTACGTAATATTACACCTTAATAACAAAGCGTTTTGTAAATGATGTCTTGTAGACCCAGTGGCCAAGCCCCGAACACTGGTAGTTCGGTCGTGGGTTCGCGCAAGCCACCCACGTGACGTTTTCCCGGTTTTCTCCACGCCCGAATAGGGACCAGTTAACCTTAAAAGACCTCCCGGAAGGTATTACCCCTAGGCAGATCGTCCAAGTGTCGCGTTGCCGTAATTTAACAAAACAAACTGTAAGCCCATAACAGGGGTATTTTTCCATACCCGTGTGAGACCGGCAAGGCCCACAATGAGGGAAATCGGGTAGAAAAGAACGGGGCCCGACATATCCCGAACACACCACCCAAAGAAATTCATGCGGAGAATCAATCCTGTAAGAAATTTAAATAGTAACATAGCGTCATATGACGTCAATTCCGGCCGTCAGTAAGATAATACATACAGTATATTTAAAACAGACTCAAATATATGAAATAAATTTGTCTATAATTTTAGATTTTTTTATGTTTTAAATAATTAGTACTTAAATTATCAAGTTAATTCGTCGGCTTTAGGAAGTAATTAAAATTTAATTAATGACGTCACTTCCGCGGTAATTTTAAATTCGAGGGGGCGTAAGCTCCGTCCACGTGTTGATCGTTGTCGCCATTACTGTTCTGTTGATGTTCGTCGTTGGAAACTAATACGTTTTATTTATTTTCAAAAACTACATGAGATGTTTATTAAGTAAGTTTTATAGATAACTGTTCAATCGTTATGAATTTAAGACTATAAATTTAGTTTAAAACGTTATAGTTCAACACATTCTTACCAAATTGACCACCCTGTCTATTGAATTTAATGCTTTCATTTCTCTAGATTCACCCACATTCCATTCTTACCTATCTCCATTTCAAGCAAAGCTCGGATGTTTTGAAGGGCTCGTTTCCTTGTCGAGCAGGTAAGCGAGCCAATGATGTAGTTCGTTTCGTATGAAATGATCCCTGTCTTTGATTTGCTTACTTGGCTGCTTGACAGGATGTGCTGTAACCGAAGGGCATTTACTATACTAAACCTTGCTCTTTAAGTAACAAATATGTAGTATATAAACTCGTGAAGTTGGAACAACAGTCAACAACTCGCACAGAAACCATGGTACTTACTCCGGCACTTGATTTACTAATCGTGCAAATGTTTTTTGCCTTGTTTAACGGTGATGGTCTACTATCATGTGCCTTGCTGTGTGTTCTTTTTTTTCTCGCTTAATTCATAAGGATAATATGTGTGTTGTTTTAAAAATTCACACACAAATGTTTATGTTAAAGTTATATAGCTCAACTGATGCTTTTCTTTCATTCTGTATTCGTTTGGTGTGATGGAAGATGAAGTCCTATAAACTGGGACAAAGCATTTGTTGTGATTAGTAAATCAAGTGCTGGACTAGTATTGAGATTTTTGTATGAATTAATATGTATGTAGTAGAAACTTCTTTATTTTATGGGCAATAAGAGGGTCTTTTTTCTGTGCCATCATGGGTTTCACCAAGCCCAGAATGGGAATGGCTGGATGATGATGACCGGAATCCATTGTATCCCTATCAGACCACCAATACAAAATTTCTGGGGTTTTTTACCTGCCGAGATTTGATCTTAGAACAGCAGGCTGATTCCTTAATTTCTTTGATCATCTGACAACAGTTTTAAAAGCATTATTTCTTTAATAGATCAGTTGTGTACATTTTAGCTTTGAATAAAACATTTTGCATAATTTGTTAAAATACATTGAACATTATTGATATTTATTCACTTTGTTATACGAGCGGTCACTGCTTTTCGTGCATCACTTTGTTATTTGTATATCAGGTGTAATATGAAATCGCTAATTTTAGTATTCCATCCTCGTGAATCACTAATTCTTAATTATTGCTTCTTTATTCTGATTTTTTACAATAACTAGGATCTAATTACCTAAGTGAGTATATTGTTTCATTCCTTCAGTTCTCTCTTCCTAGGTTTTCTGCAGTCTTCTTTTGTATTATCCACTTGTCTTTTGTTCATTTCTTTCTTGTAATCCTATTGTTAACCTGAACTACAATTATATTACTTGCTGATAATCTCCACAGCTAATTATTTGTGCGCAATGATAAGAAATTAAACTAAAATTAAAGACAAGTTTATTATATGTAGCAACTTCCTGTTATATGCAAGCTGACCATAATTTCTTGATATCAAAATGGAATGAGGAGCGGGTAATAAATATAGACATTAGTAATAACTTGTTAGTACATTATTAGTCTTACAGATTTGGTGACATAGAAAAGAATGCATAAATTTTCCTGAAATATTTTTATTTTGAAAATCTAACAACAAAATACAGTGGTGCCTTGTATAACATACGCCTCAAATAACGGACGCTGCGAACAACGGACTTTCTGTTTGGCTGTTACGTGACTCGAACAACGGACTTTCTGCGAACAAGTGCAAATGATGTTTCCACTCGTTTGCAATTACCAATGACAATCTGCTATTTTTATAATAGTATTATTAGAATATATTATTAGTATATCTGAAGTCCAGAGCTCCCGTTGGGATTTGTCTTGTTCTCTTGTTTATTATGTATAGTACATCACCTCAGTGCAGGGGAGGTATTTACATTTATTCAAGTGTTGTGCAAATCATGGCTTCTAAAAAACAGAAAGGTGATTTCAATTGAAACAAAGCAAGAAATCATCAGAAGGAGTGAAAGTTGACAAAAACTTCCTTGTCAAATGGAGAGAGGTTCAGGAATTTACCAACACTCATTATCCAAATAGAGCTGAGACCAACAGGATCAATGATCTCTACAATGACACCCTTGCCCGTCATTTCCAACAAGTGTCGAAGAAAAGAGAGAAACAGACCACCTTGGACATGTTTTTCAAGAAGCCAGCTGTCAAAAAACAAAGGATGGAACAAGAAGAGTTGACCCTGCAAGCTCCGGTAGCTTCTTCTAAATCTGACTCCGATTAAAAAACAATGAAAAGAGACCCGCTGCAATATGTAAAAAGTCTGTATCTGTATGAATGTGTGAAAAAAGTGTTCCTTCACCTCCTCACATCTGACTACCCGGCATAATTGGTGACTGCTCCATTTTCATTTTTTTATGGTACGGTTATTTTATGCTGCGGAACGAATTATATGTTTTAAATGTATTTCTATGGGAAAATGCGTTTCGCATAACGGACTTTTCACTTAACGGACGTGCACCTGGAACGGATTAAGTATGTTATACGAGGCACCACTGTAATGTATTTGTATTACAATATGATATCAAGTTTAATAGTTACGTTGATCCTAGTGAAGCCAGGCATATTTTACAGATGAACTTATTCTGTTTGTGTTCTGATCATTCAATTTTATCATAAAACTTATTGCATCATAAGAAGCAGTTTTGCCTTATAATTAGCATTAATTTTGTTGCTTTGATATTTAATTTCAACTTTTATTTTGACCACGTGGAATATGTGAGTGGAAATGTTTTTTCTACATAAGCTGTAATTACCTAAAAACAAAGTATTTATCTAATTATTAAATCTTTGAATTCAAGATCCTTATCATGCATTTGTATCCCATCCATCAGCTAGATTGATTTTTTTCTTCAAGTGTTTGGATGCTATTGCTTTATCGGCACCCGTTGATCGAATTATCACATTTTGTCTGCTTCCGTTGAAACTGTTCTGTAAGCCATATTTTGTTTCACTTCTTCCTCAGTGATATCCGTTCAAATTTATGACTGTTATTGATGTCAAATAAACATTTTCTAACAAGTCACGAATCTGGAATACGATATACAAATGTAACTATTTCCTGTAATGAATAGCAGCATCACGCATGGCATTCGCTAGCAAAATGACTTCAAATTGTGGTACCAAAGGATGCAATGGTACCGTATCAATTTTGTAAAAGCGATAAAAATTTAGCTCACTTTTTGCTACATCATATTTTGTGGTTCCCTTTGTGCTTGAGACAAAATCGGTTCTCTTGCACTGTCCCCATGCAAGCATACCACGTTTTGAAGTCGACGTGGTACCATCGTTACCTTTGGTACCGCAGTTCAAAGCCATTACATAGCGAATGCCATGCTTATTAGGAAGTGTCTTTTGGAGTACTGGATTTGTGTGAGGTGCTGCTATTCATTACAGAAAATAATTACTTTCATTTCGACTGCAATATCTACATCCAATATAAAATGTGTTTAATATACCATTCCAGGGTGTTAACTATTCATACGATGCTCAGAAATAATACTTTAAATGAATTATACGACAGCGAACGACTTTCTCGTCGAAACAAATAGAAATTAGAAAGCCTCTTCTAGTAAATTAATACAAATAGTTTTCTTTAATTATTGAGAAATAATATACAGTATAACTGAATATGGAAAAAGTCTACTGATGATGCTGCATATATCATTCATAATTGACATGAAATATTGAATTAATGGGTAAGAATAAGATGTAACAAGTTTATTAATTGTACTGTTTTCATTGTATAAAAGTCGTATTGATAATGAATAAATTGTTATAATTATTAATAATTCGCAATTTAGATCATTTGTATCTAATTTCAGTATTTCAGAGTGACTGCGGACGAACGGAGAATCATTGATGACTAAATCAAGCGGAAACTACACGCAAAATCTCTTTCCAAAAGCATTTTAACAAACAGAAGTGCATATACAATAAAAGATAGAATGTAAATATGTGTTTAATACATGGATTCTTCAAGTAAGTTAGTTTATATTATGGAAATGTCGTGAAATACCACGGTATTAGCAGTCTCTGTGAGAGGTAATGTGGTGAGTGGTGAGTTCAAAATGGATCTCAGCTTTTTTCTACTTATGATAGTTAATAATGGTGATAAAGAATAATGTATTGATTCTTTTGTATACAGATAGAATTGTCTAAACTTGTTTTTCGCTATTTTATACATTATAACAAGAGAGTGAATGATATTCGATTCTTAAATAAACTTAACCAAACTAAACTGAAATCCGACAGTAAGTTTATTTAATGAGCTAAAGATTTGAAGATTTAATTATTAAAATTGGATATTTTATAATTAGAGAACACTGAAAAACTACTCTTACAAGAAATGAGAAGGTGAAAGATTTTAGATGATGTACACTGTACATTCAATAGTGGAAGATTTCAGATTAAATAAATTAATAAATATTGTTCTAAGTTAACTTTCTCTTTAGTTTTTAAATGCTTTTTCTAGACAAGTAAGTCGTATGACCTGCATTTCCACTCTGTGGCAGATGGCAGTACCCCGCTTTCTTGCAGACATTCCAGTATTTGAAAGACATCTTTGCCGATCACGTAATCTCCAGTGGAATGCCGTCTACCGGGTCTCTGGACCTCACTCCCCAGATCTTGTTGCCTTGGGTGACATTTCTGGCATTTGCCATAGGAGAAACGGAAATATCTTACTTAAAACTTCACTTAAACCTTTTCTGCTGTACGGTAACTTTTCAGACACCCTGTATTTTCAACACACTCGCTGTAATGATTCTAAGATTCAAGTTCCGGTGTCAGTAGGATCACAAACAGGTTGATGCCTCGAGACCATCTTTCCGCAGTTGTAAGTTACATTACACCATTAGAGTAACAGAAATAAATAATTCTTTAAACAGTTTTTAACAGTTTCTTTAAAATTTAACAGAGCATTCTAGAAGCAAAGTTATATTGTTATTATTACATTTCTTTGATTATAAAATGATTACAAGGTGCAAACCTTATAATTCTAGTCTAATTTTACTCAATAGAAAAAAAAGAACTTATACAAAAAGAAATCTATAGAACTAACTTAATGAAATTAAAACTCCAACAACAGTACATAACGATATCATAATTAATTGATTAATATAGCTTATATCAGAAGAACGTGTTTTATGTTATTGTTAACAATCAATTCCAATCAAGACACATTATTTTAAGTGGATATTACTTGTATGTTTGTGCGGTACGATCTAAATTAACTATTAATACATGAGGATAATGAACATGTAGCAAAATAATGTCTACATATAATATATACAGGTATGCACTGTTAAATGATGGGCATATCTTCCAATAAATACGTAGAGAGAACGTCGTAACGTCTAATCTAAATGTTAGTGTCTGCTATAGGTTTTAACACCCAGCTCGGAACTTTTTAAACACCCAGCGTATAGCCCCGTTTTAGCGCCGAGCGACTTCCACCTCTTTCCTGAACTGAAAATGTGGCTAGGAAGGCGGATGTTTGAGACTAATGACGATCTTCAAAACAATGTTAAGGCCCGTCTCGAGTCACCGGCGGCGACATTCTACGAAGAGGAGATTGGAAAGCTTCTCCGCAGATAGACAAATGACTCGATCTTCACGGCGATTATGTCGAAAAGTAATCATGTTTGTACCTAACTTTTGGTAATAAATTCATTTTGTTATTTACACTTGTCTTTGTTTTATGGACCATTGGAGGTTGGTAAAAGAAAGAAAATGCCTTTGTATGCAGTGCTGTATATATGACTTTGATGTCGGTACAAATTTCTTGTTGCATGGTAACTTTTCGGATACCCTGTACTTAATTACAAATATTTATCTTTCGTAACTGATTTAAATTGCCAATAATTTACATTTTATTTATTATTTAAGTTCGTTACTTAACTTTGCTTATTTTACTTTATTTTTTTCAGACATTGGATAGATACAAACATGTTATCAGTTGAAGTATTTCATATAAATCACATTTATATGCAGACGATAAAATTGAATTTTAATTTATTATTGAATGATAAAGTTTTTTAACCGTGAAACATATATCAGAAGCAACTGAAAGAGAATAAAATGCCGAAGGAAGACGTCTCGTCGCAGGAAGAGCCGAATTAACTCTCGAAATGAAAATACTTTTCTGCGGCGTATTTACTTCAATAAAATTATAAATCGTTTGCGCATTACAATTGGAATATGAATTCTTAAGTTTTTGCTTAATAATGTTTTATATCTCTAAACTATATAATTTAGAATTTGGTATTAAATTTGATAAGTTGAGTTTTAATAATAGTTCAATAATGCAGAATTTTATCTTTATTTATTTTTGCAGGAAGACTTAGAAAGAAGACGGGCAGATTTGACTGCAGAATCTGCGGCAAAGTGTTCTCGCAGAAGAGCAACCTAAACGTTCACTTAAAGACTCATTTCGGCGAGACCTACTCGTGCGACATTTGCCACCGCGAATTCGGTCTCAAGTCGACTCTATATAATCACGTCAAGATCCATTCCGGATTCAAACCCTACGTTTGTGACATATGCAGGCACAGCTTTATACAAAAGGGAGATTTAGTGAGGCACATCAGAGTGCACACTGGCGAGAAACCATACTGCTGCGACTATTGTTTCCGCAGGTTTGCAGACAAGTCCAGTTTGACGAAACACGTAAGAAGAATTCATTCGGGACAAGGTAAACCGACGATACTCGTCTGATTGCGAGTTTAGGGTTTCAGGTGAGATATCTATAATATATAGGTTCTGTTCGGCAAGCTATTAAACTAGATTGCCAAACGTTGCAATAAATATATGTTATAACAATAGAAATGTTAATTTTATACAGTTCCAATTTCATTTCTCACAAAATATTCCATGGATAATTCTTTTAGTTTCGTGATTTATGCCAAACAAATTGTAGGCTACATTTATGTGAGAGTTGTCATTTGAATTGTAAATTTGTTATATATATTGTAGTATGCAATACATGTTTTGGATATTAAAATTTATTATTCATTCAAATTATGTCTTATTCTCAAATCAACTTGAGTTTATCCTGTTTGTTTCATAAGAAAAAACTATTTATCAACAAGGTAAAGCAGTAAAATGTCAGCTACTATATGGTAATAGAGTGTACTCTGTTACCGCAAAGAATCTGGATTCATACATAAACCGCACTTGTGAGTTTTTGTGCTTAGTATACTCAGCATAATTCCCCGTCCCTTGTTCTTGCTAGTCCAACCCATTGTGGATTGGGTTAGTACGACATGAGTGTAACGAGTCGTCGTCTAATACATTATGGTAACACAGTCGGAACGTGTGGCTAATTCTCACAAACAAATCTTATCGTTGAGTACATTCTGGCATGCATCAAACTGCCTGTGATGTAATAAGATATGTTCCTGTATTCACTGATTCATTGGGTTGCGGATACACTTAGCTCCAACAAAATGATATGTCCGTCTCCGGAATTACGCTACTAATGTCACTTTTACTATATGTAAGTATTAACCGAAAGCCATTTTGACAAAATAAGTCTTACTTCTGTTTGCTTCCACCATCTTATTAGGTTGCTAAGTGTTATGGTAAAAGCTTCTTAAACTTTTCATAAGCGTTAGTTTTTATATGTTGGCTTGCGACTTGCATGCATTCTGAATCTGTATGCGATCTTACATCTACGTTATAACGTAATTCGTGGCTCGATGTCTGGCAAAACAGCTTTAACAGGAAACTTACCTAGTATAGCATAGAAAAACACTCGAATGGCATTTTTTAAGTTAATCTGCACCAATTTTTAAGAACATTTATGTTTTGTTTTCAACTAGGAAGCTTTGTATACAGGATGTCATAAGTCTCCATACAAATGGTAAAAGCGGCAACTGATGTTTATTTTATTCGTACAAATGGTATCATATGATGCAACAGAATAATAATCCGTTCCTTCGTTAGTGGCATTTCTTTTCAATTGGTTCACCTTTCTGAAAACGAAAAGTAAATTATTCACCGCTTTCACCATTTGTATGGAGACTTATGACTCATCCTAGACTATAAAAAAAGGGCATTATGCAAGAAGCTTCAAACTATCATTCAACTCAGATCAGTGCTCCCACAAGGTAGCGTTGGGTCAACAGAGGCTGTTTTTGTCAACGTACCACAAAGATGCATGGGATAATGGACAAATGTTGTTAGTTTCTTTTATATTTGCAGAATAGGCCAGAAGTCACGAATTTTCAGTCTGTCAAGGGTATTATTTGGGTCACCTATGACAAGGGAGCACATGTATAATGCATTTAAAAACAAAAAAGTTTACAAAGTGCCTGCTAGGGTGGTAAGTGGCACTGAACACCGTAGTGAATAACTTAAAATGTTTAAACTTACATAGTCATACAAAGTACCCTGTGTATGGGTAACAGTACGTATGTGTCGACCTCCGTTGGCAACATTGAAATTGTACGTGGGACCAAAGGAGGCCAGTGTATGGAACGTGCTGTTGCTTAATAACACAGCTTATTCCTGGTCCAGAAATCCCCAAGAATTTTTTGGCGTGGTCGTTCGGATATGTCGGGCCCCGTCCCTCACTACGTGGTTGCCCCGTTGTGGGCCTGGTAAAAGAGGTTCTCTCAGTGTCCACAGGATGGAAAGAGTTAAAAGACCTGGTCGATCACGCGATGATATAGATGGGAAAAGAACGCCCTCAGCATCCACAGGACGGAAAGAGGCAGAAATAAAATTTTGCTTTAGTTTTTCCTGTTACATACAAATTTTGTACGTTATACTGTCACTAATTAATACTGCAATCAAACGAACATCTGTTAAAATAGCCAGGTGTTCGTATAGTTTGATTTCCGATCGTTTTATTTGGGGTATATCCACGTACACCTGTTGCAATATCAAGTATTGATAGTTTTCTTCTCCATGAACTTTTTTCTATGAACCTCTGTGACGAAATATGTACTAGAAGCTAGGTAAGTTATTAATTTAATACCCAATAACTTGTTACTGAGGTGTCGATTTGTTTAAATTCGAGTTTACAATTATCTGGTAGTTATTTGCGTAAATTAAATTTTACACAAGCGTGTCCCATTAAATTATTACATTGAATAGTGAGGGGTCGAGAAACTCTTCAGTAGTATAAAGGAGGATGCGCATATGCGGCGCGGCAGAATAACGTAACTTTTTCTCGCTGCAGAAGTCGATTTTGTGCCTCTTCTCGTGCCACAAAAGTTGGTTGAATTCTATCTTTTGCGACGACCTCCGCCAAGACGCGTTTCTATCAGACAATACCAGACAAACTGTTAGTCGCGTGAGAAAATACAATCTAGTGGTGTTTTAAAATGGCGGAAAGTTCGACGCTATTAACCGAGATAATATCAGAATTAAGAGGAAAGGATAATAAATTTAACACAACTAATATAATTTGTTTCAAAGAACAAACCAACCTAATCTTACTCGTAATAGTATTATGTATCGAGAGATCTTAATGGAGGAATAAGCGTATTTTGTACACCAGTTCTTTTAACAGTTTCTGCCGGTGGCCACTAAGAAGGCCTTTTATAGTAGCTCGTTATGGGTTCGACAGGGCCCATGGGACCCGAAACGTTCGGACGGATTGCCCCCGCCGAAAAATTCGTGGATAAAACTATCGAACACTGGTAGTTGGTCACGGGTTCGTCCCTCACCAACAGATCATCCGAGTGGACTTTCCGGATACGTCGGTTCTTCGTCTCCCATCACCCGTTTGCCCCATGACGGGTTTGGTCGAACCCACGACGGATACGATAACTCCGCCGAGTGCCCACGGGAGAAAATAATAATAATAATCGTGTGTAAAATGACTTAAATTGATGTACAACGTTCTAATAAATATAAATTTTACAGATTTCAAGATGCTGATGAGAAAATGTTTTCTTCCTCATTCCACAGTGGTCCCAATTCTTATTTTATTTAATGTATTAACGTTACTGTTAATTGATATAATAATGAATTATCATTTCTATGGAGCGTTTTTGTTTTCTAAACGGAATTTTAACGTGTACAAACTGAAAACGACAAAGCTGAAATTGTGTGCACAGCCTAAAATTGAAGTTCGTAGCTTAAACCAACCCAGAGACGTCAGGGTAAGTACGACGAGTATCGAGTACCGTCGTCACCCCAAAACCATTCTTCTATGGACAAAATATTATGGAGAGACTTATTCCCATGATTACTACTACTTCGTAGAAGAAGGTAACACCACTTTCAAAATGTACGGCTGCCCATATAGCGATTGCATCGTTACGACAAACAGGTCTTTGCTGAAAACTGCCCAAGCAGTTCTCTTCCATCAGGCGGATTTCCACCCCCGGGATATACCGAAATCTCGAGATATCAATCAGAAATGGATATTTTATCTTATGGAAGCTCCTGGGAGAGATTCAGTTTTCTGGCACACCAGAAATAACCTGTTTAACTGGACTATGAGCTACAGGAGCGATTCGGACATTCGAGTGAAGTACGGAGAAGTGTGCCAATTACCAACAGAAGAATGGGAATACGTGGATAAGGACTACTTGCAGAGTAAGATCGGCGAAGTTGTGTGGTTCGTAAGCAATTGCCATACGTCGAACAATAGAATCGATTACGTTGCAAAGTTGTCGGAACACATCCAGGTTGATATATACGGAAATTGTGGCAAGAAGAAGTGCCAACCCAGCCAATCGCCCGAGTGTTACGATGAAATCCTGAAGCATTACAAATTTTACTTGTCGTTTGAAAACTCTAATTGCAAGGATTACGTCACGGAAAAGTTATTTAACGTGCTCAATTACGACGTAATTCCAGTAGTGATGGGTTCGGCCGATTACGAGTCCATAGCTCCTCCACATTTCGTAATAAACGCCGTGGATTTTCCGGATCCGGTCAATTTGGCCGAATTTCTGAAGACTGTCGGCAGCGACGGAAGATTGTACAATTCTTATTTCGAATGGAAGGGAAAATTCAAGAGTTATTTGTACCCCTGGATGTGCGAATTGTGCAAAAAGTTGCATTTTCAGGGAGGTGAAAGGACGGAAAGAAACTATATTTCCAAATGGTGGCTTGAGGAAGCAGGTTGCAAGAAATGGAAGCTCAATAAATTTCTATAAATATTTGTGGTTCTATTTTTAAATATTAAATGAGATATATTTGAAAAAATAAGAAGATATTTTGGCATTCTTGATTATTCTTCAGGATTGTTTTATTCGTATTCGGTAACACGACACATAGATCTGCCTAGACGGTGCCTACTATTACAGTTTAATGGCACAAATGTGTCGCCAGGTTCCGCAGAACACTGTCTGGCAGCTACCTCATCTAAATGGTGAGGCTGCAAAGTCATGAAATACATGCATAATATGAAAATAGATGTTATGTGTTATATAGTGTGTAAATAAAACAGTAACATAATATAACGTCGTACATGTATTTTCCAGGACCTGTACATCCGGTTTAACAACGATATGTCCGCTTCGAACATGTCGAAGTTTCTGTATACCTATTTAAAGAGTTGCGGGATTTATCTTGTTTTGTGCAATACACCTAGTGGTATCACTTCTGGAAATATTGATGTTGAAAACAAGTAATACATTGGCACTAAATGGGGGTGTGGGGATTGCCATACGAACATTACATAGTGTATTGGTTTTCAGGATTTTACTAATATACTTAAAGGAAAATTGTGTCTCCAACTTAAAAAGTCTATTCAAAATTTCTTGTTCACTGTTGACGAGAACCTTATTGTTCTTGACAGAAGAAATTTCTAAAGCGTTCAGTTTATCTACAACACTTTGTTGATTGGTTAGGATAGCTTCTCCGCTTTTATTTCAGGCAATTTGATTTAGTTTCTTCTCCGATAGACAATTACCAAGAATATTTACGATTTTCTCCACACGTCCTATAATGTACTCAGAGTGCCTTTTGATACCGAGCTTGGCACCATCATTCGACTCAAAGAACCCCTTGATCTCATCTAGTACCCGATAAGCGGAAAGCCGAAGTCCTCCTATATCAAGGTGTTCAGAATCCATCGCGACAGTTAGAAAGTGGAGAAAGTTGCAGGATTGAGGAAAAGAAATAAATTTTTTGGTACGCTTTGCTAGTTTTTTGCCCTCTGGGCGCTTTTCTTTTCCATGCCCATCATGGGTTCGGCCACATCCACAATGGAGACGGCCTGGCAGTGAAACAATGAGCCCAACGTTTCTGATGAAGACCTTCCTTAATTAAAAATACTTTCTGGAATTGCTCGCTGGAACTCGAATCTATCGGAGCGGTAGGCTGGCGTTTTAATTTCTTGGCAATTTCTTTGAGTAAATTTTTATTTTGTATAATGCCTTTACACTCACCCTATAGTTGACTGCTCTCTCTTCTGTTATATCTTCGTGTATTCTCTTTGTTCTATACCGATTGCTAAAGGAAGAGTATGGTGTATAGGGGCAAGACACTACTCATTTGAAGATGGACAGCATGTATTTTAAATTAAATAAATTAAAAATATGATTCAAAATTGCAGCCCGGCATTGTGACGATTCACAATAAATATTTATTCCTTTATATAGGTAAATTTTTATAATATAATAGTGTGTTATAGATTATATAATCAGTGCTGAGGCGTATCCAGAATTTTAAAAAGATAGATGCTGCTCACGACGGAAGAAAGAGAGGGAGAGTGAGAAGAGGGGGAAAAGGAGACAGGAGAGGAGAGGGGAAGAGAGAGAACAGGAGAGAGGAAGAAAGAAAAGGGGACAGGAGAGGGGAAGAGAGAGAACAGGAGAAAGGGAGAAGGAAAAGGGGACAGGAGAGAGGGAGAGAAGGAGATGTCTCAACCATTTTTTGGACTTTTCTTATCTCCGAAATGTCGAGAGGTGAGGAGAAGAACAGGAGAGGCACTTCAGAATCTGGCGCAAAGTCGAGACATAGTAACATGAAGAAAACCCGAAAACTCCAAGTGGCCAGGCGAGAAAAAATTAAAACTAAGCGGAAACATTTGTAATAAAATATACTCGTAATTTTTAATATTTCCGAACATTCGAACAAAATTTAAATTACATAACACACACCAAATATCAGAAAATTGCCGACTGAAGATCCGATATGTCTAATTTCGGGATGTCGTAACTGTCTTTGGATAACTCTTCCACATTGTTTATGGTGAAAACCTGCGTCATCGGCGGGGCAGACTGTTTATTGGAATTAACTTTATTTCTTAACAAGTGTCCGCAACACGTTAGCGTTCCGCAATTATAAACAGGCGAACATCTTAATATACACTCGACCTTCTTCCACGAACTGTATCCCTGCGGGTATACACATCTTGTAACCGGTGTGTATGGAAATAATTAAAGCCAAAGAAAGGAAAATACCTCGCAAAATTCCGGCTGTATCGTAACCATGTTAATTCCCTCCTTCTTAAAAAAATTTCCTAATTGATTTGCTATTCTCACATAAACGGGTATGGATGCCAACACCACGTGGACTGTCGCTATGGTCTGAGAACTGTTTAGCTGCCAGATATGGATGTCGTGAATGTTTAAAATGGCTGGGAACTGGAATTAAAACGTGGAACGTTATGCCATACCGTAATTAAGTCGCGTAATTTAGTTACTAAACGGAAACACCAGTCAAAAATGGCGATCCTCCTCCGGTTCATGGCAATCTTTAATGTTGTCGAATGGTTTTTACCATCTAAAAATATTAATTTATCTTATAATTATGATAATAATCAATGGATACCTCTTTAATTAAACGGTTCTTTAGCGCTTCCATGTTCAGGTGTTGAGGGATCGTCTGCAAGAGGATCAGGCTCGATTCTTGAACTGAAATTTAAGAAATTGATGATGGAGATGATCTGTTTACGATGATGGAAGATTAATTTGTAATTTACCGAACTGATACGAAGTTAGGAAGAGGATGGAGATTGCTAACAGACTAAAAACAAAGTCGACGTATGGTGGGACCCGTCGATTTAAACAATAATCCAGAAGTCCGTAACAAAGAAGCAAAAGGCATCCCGAATTGTCGCGCAGGATATCGGTCATCAAGATGTTGTCGCAATCATCTGTAAACGAAAATGGAAGATGTAGATGTTATCTATGGAAAATACGTGGAAATATTTATTTTAAACACGTACTTTGTTTGGTATAGATCAATTTGTGATTGTTACCATCTTGCTTTCCGTTCAGAACCTCTTCGCTTCGGATCCTCAAGAGCGAGTTCTGGTGGCAGGTGTAGCCTAAACAGAGCGAATATTTAAAAAATTAGTAACACCAGGCAGAGGGAAATGGTGTATAAAAGGAAAAATTAATACCTTTTATCAACGCTAGAGCAAATATGTTGAGAATAAACCTGAGAGAACCGAAAATCAGTACCAAATATGGATAACGCGAATTGACCATTGAATGTTTCTGGTGTATCAATTCCTGTATGCCTTCGATGATCACGGCGAAACACAAAGCGGCAAAGAATAACAGATTCACCAAAATACCCAGAATCTCCAACCTGGCCCAACCGAAAGTATTCTTTGAGGTTTTCTTTTTGGAAGCCTGCAAGGATTAAATGATTAAAAGCCTGCTTGACCGGGAACCAAACTCGAAAGACTTACCCTGAGACTCACGACCAGAAGAACGAGCGACAGAAAATTGTACAGCATGTGATAGGAATCCATTAGCAAGATCACACTCTCGCATAATTGACTGGCTACTAATTCGCTTACGAAAAACAGGGCAGAAAGGACCAACACCGAGTACAGCCGCCACGCCTCCATCTATAAATGCATTTCAAAGCGATTAATCCGAATGAGTTGTGTTTCAACCAACACACTTGGAGCCTCTCGTTGTGACTCTAAATTGGGCATATCATTGTTTGGCGGAGGGGATGGACCCGTTATATGTCACAGTTTAGGTCGGCAGCAAATCTAAGTCCAGCAGCTCTGGTAGTGTTGCACTTCTTAAGTGTCCTAAATAAAAATAGGCCGAGAAGTTAAGGCACCATCGTATTTGTCTTGAGTGGTTGACACGGAACATAGAGTGATGCACCCAATTTATCGATCAGGATAGGCCACAAAGGGATGGTTGAGTTCTGGCCTGGCCCGAACTCATGACCAGCACGCAATTAGTTTAAATTAAAGACGTTTCCGCCATAAATTAAATTTTTTTACACGACATAAAATCCTAAATGTAGTTTCTAATGGGAGAGAAATATCACTTGCTTATCGACAATAAGCAATCAGCAATAAGGATAAAAAGTTATCCTTATTGTTGAATGTGTAAGGGCTTAATGGTCATTTAATTAAGGATTAAAACTCGTTAAATCAATGAAAAATCTATTTATATACAGTAAAAAGATTACCTGAACAGAAAATAAAAGTTAAATACTCACTTTCACTTCACTGTATACTACATTTGTACTTATAACTGGGTTACAAAAGCAGGTCTCGCCCCGAAGACGTTCAAAACACTTGAATAAAAGATGATCTTCACCCTAGATTGTGACGACACTTCTTGTATACAGTAAATGCATGCATACACACACGGCGGTGTGAGCTGTTAATGCTTCAAAAGCTAAGTTTACATCTTTTACAAAGCAAAACCTGTGTAAACCGGGTGAAGTTATCTAGGCGCGTAATACCTAAATAGGGGCCAGTTTACCATATAAAGTCCTCCCGGAAGGCATACCTCTCGGCAAATCGTCCACGTGTTACGTCCCACCATCCCAACACAATATAAAGCCCATATAACCGTAGAAGGCTGAAAATCGTAGCTAGTGCCGGCCTTCCAGTACTAGTTAGAGGCCTGTAAAAGCCAGGCCCTAGTCTAACACTGCTTTAAAATAATTTTGAAATAATTAAAACTCACCTCACTGGGAATAAATTAGGAAGCTTTAATTTGGTCTAATCCGAGATTTTCTCCACTGAAATTTAAAAATTGCATTAATTAATTAATAACGTAACACCCAATTACTTTCGCTAACGTAAAATCGCACTCGTTACGCTCCTTTTAAACGTTTAAAATGGCGTTTAGCGGAAGATGTAACAGGAAAAAATACAACACGTTAATGCTGTGTGACGTTTTAGTAATTAACAATTAAGGACTTTCGTGCAGCCCATCGCCATTTTCAACGTGGAATGTAACGTAAAAACACCGTATATTCGTGCACGCTACCATCAATATAGCTTCTACAACCCCGCAATTATCTAATATTTATATAATACAGCAGTAACGATGACAAAGACAAAACGGTTCCACGCTTCAGTAGTTACCACTACGAAATTACAATTTTTATCAAAATATTATATTCTGTATTTAATGTTAACGTGCCTAACGAATTAAAATGGTCTTTCCTTATGTATCAACCCAAAAAATACAGCAGCGAGTTGTGTAATTTTCCCAACAAAACTGTTTAAAATATTAACCAGTAAGAAGATCTTTAAAAGTTCCACCCCGCTCGAGATACGACGCGACTCTCCGTATCTCGCCACCCCCTCAAGCTTTAACTACCAAAATTTAACTGCATCGATTCCCCTAATACGCAAACCTGCATGCAAAATTTAAGAAATTTTCGATAAAAGGTAAGGAAGTTATTAAACTTCAAAGGGGTGCCCCTCAGACATGTGTAGGAAAAAAAACTCCACGTTTTCCATAGGTTTCAATGTTCCCTAAATCCAAAAGTATAAAAATCTTGTGGGGTCTTTTTTGACCCATCGCCATGTTGTAATACGTGTTTCTGTGACATCAGAAATTTCACCCATTTGTCATACGTTTATCCCCCTTCAAGGTAAAATGTGACGTAACACACGTTAGGCTGGCAGACAGAAGTACAGTACATATGTATTTCAAACTACAGATTTTAGTGTATTAGCGAAGCTTGTAACCTCCGTAATTCAAGTCTTTTAACACACATATAATACTGTATACACCCGACATTTTAAGATGTATAACACTATACACAACTGTAGATTTAAGAACAGTTAACAAGTGTTTATATCAATAGAATTTTCGCAACCAACCGTAACTATATTTGAAGAATAATGACTAGTTTATGTGAAAATAATGCTTAATAATACTTTTTAAAAACATTATACAGAAACCGAAATTCATTAAAAAGAAGCATTGTTCCCGGTTATAAATCGCATTCCTGTTTTTAAAACACGTGAGTAATATAGTTACACCCATTTACGTGTGTTGTAATTATAACGGGCGAATTCCCTATTCGGTAAAGTAATCCGCGATTAATCCGCAGTAGAAAGTTGTTACGTAAACAATAGATGAAGTGTTAGTGTATAGAACTTGTTACCTAATTAAAAATTCCAGGAACGAGATGCACGTTTAAGTCCGACACGTGACACCCCCATAGGCCCACCAGTGGCCAAGCGGTCCTCGTACCCTGAACACTGAGAGTTCGATCGTGGGTTCGCGCCTCGCTCGGACGGGCTGGCCACGTGTTGTTTTCCGGTTTTCTCCACGTCTGTAATACCTAAATAGGGGGCCAGTTTCCCTTAAAAAGTCTTCCCGGAAGGCATCCCCCTAGGCAGATCACCTGTGTTGCGTTGCCATAACTAAAACAAACAGACACCCCTGTATATCTACCCAACCCCTCAACTTTAAACCACCAAAATTTATTAGAGTCGATCCTCCTAATACACGGTCCCTTGTTAAGTGTTAGATACGTGAGTTGGTAGCGCGAATACCACTGATCGGTGGTTTTATCCACGTACATTAGTTCTAATCTTATTGAAGAACATGACTCCCTACCTAACACAAGTAATCTAGTAAATCCTCCGTCATGCCGGCCATTACGGGTCATCTGCAAACACTATTTGACGCCACTGATATTAGGGAGATTCTTTTTTCTTTTGCCCATTAATTAAAGTCTAGCTAATTGGTGCTATTGTTAATAGCTAATTTTTAGGGAGGTTTACAGTTTATTATTTAGGGTCCTCCAGTCCCGTACAATACTTTGGTTAGTAGAGCAGCTGCAACTACTCTTGATGACATGTTTGTTATTAATTTAAATAATTGGCGTCTATGTCTGTCAGTCACGCTTTTAAACCTACCAGATCGTTTAATATTTCAGTAATGTTCTTTTTGCTGTAAAACAATACCTTACAGCAGATGTATAACGATTCACACTAGCTGCTACTTGTCTTAATTCTTCTGTTAAACCGCAACCTCCAGGCATTGTTTAAAATCCTTTCAAAATTTCTAAACGCTGTTTAAATTGCCGCCGTATTTAATTTCAAGACTGTTATTGCCCTTTTTTGTTAATAAGGAAGGCCAGTTAAATTATTACACATTTTTAAGCCGGTGTTTATACCAGTCGACCACACTATAACACTGTTGATAATTCCGTTTTATATGAATTCCATGTTGTACGAGTCACTTAGATTTTACAAATACGTGAGCCGTTCACAGCCCGGCACACGTATTTGTAAAAACTAAGTGACTCGTACAACATGGAATTCATATAAAACGGAATTATCAACAGTGTTATAGGGGCGGTCGACTGTACTTTTGTTAGACATTAAGGCTGGAAAGCCATAAAATTAAGGTTCATTCGACCTTCCCTCTTGCACTTTTTACGATGTTTTCAGTTATTATTATTGTGTCCTACGAGCGTAAACACCCCCATTTAAATGGTAGATTATGTACAGTAAAACCTGTGTAATCGCATAGTACCAATAGAATAGAAGTTGATAAAATCGAGAATGAATAGTGTTTCGAAGGGAATAAAGTAGTTTCTTGCATGGTTCTTTAAGATTAGAAAAAGAAACTCGCTTTTGTGTGTAAAACCGTTTAAACGTTCGCCAATTATAAATACCGCAATGCATTTACTGTACTCGAAACGTAACGAAATGCCACGTATACCCGACCTAGTTTCGCGGCGCTACGATCGAAAATGACGTAGTAATTCCCAGTTACGTGGAGAGTTTATTATACTCTGCTGTGTAACACTACACATTCTACCTTTTATTTTTCGAAACCATTTCGGATAATCGAGTTTCTGTCGTATATAAGTTTTAAGAGGGGAAGAACAAAGAAAAACAAGTCATATTGTTTTATCGAAAATTTTAACATATAAAAACTATTATATGATTTACATTGTGTAAACCGAAGTGCCAACGCGTCTTTGATGTATGATGTCATAAATGGAAACTTTCATTAAAATACGGTTTTTAATCTTTCTCGTAACTTATAAATGGCGGCGCACCAATCTATTACTTTATTGCCGTACAGTGAGAAGCCGTATTGTTAATTATTTCCTTCAGAATTCCATTATAACGGTAGACAAAGAATACGCATAGGGGGCGCATCTAGACGACAACCGAGCGCCCCTACGCCTTTTCAGCATTCCGGTATTCAATACTTTTAACACTTAATCCCCTTTCTTCATTAATACGCCAATATAAGAACCTATTTTTAACCACGTTATCCAGCGAAATTTTCATGATAGAAGACAGAGAAGTATCGTTTTGCCAGTCTACCTCGTTAGCGAATACCAGGTTTGAAACAATATCCAATTCCTATAACACTGCAGTTAATTAGTTTACGTGACTTCTCGCGTAATCGCCGATAAATCTACAGAAACACCGATTTAAAACAAAGGGTTGTTGTAATAGACACGAGTTAAATCCAGTAACGAGTTGCGTAACTTTCCCGGCCAACTCTTTAAAATTGCGCGTGGCGCCATCTGTTACGAAATATTTCGACCTTACCGGCGATACGACGCGCCACCTCGACCTTTAACAATACAACTGTTATTTTTAAAATCTCATAAAAGCCGGAAAAGTTACGCAACTCGTGGCCAGATGTTTTAATTAATGAAAGCGGCCAGACTTAAACGAAGTAGACTTTATTCGTCCAGACGAATTTCCATACAATCGTTCGCACGGGGTTATTGCCCGTCCGTCCGACGGGCGGCGGACTCTTCCTTCTTTGCATAGGCGTCTTCCGTCTTCCGGTCCGCCGCCCGTCCGCGCGGTGGTCGAGGAAGTGCCGGCGCTTGGTCCCGTTCGCCGTCCGGACGTTGATGAAGGCACGGGGCGACCACCGCCCGCGGACGCTATTGCCGTCGACGCGTGCGCGCAACCGCTTCTTCTTCTTCTCCTTCCTCCTCCTCCTCGTCTTCTTCTTCTTCCACTTCTACGAAAATATCGACGGAAATTCTTCGGCCGGTGGGCTCCTCCCGCGGGGCGGAACCCCCTCCGCCCCGCCCTCCGGAGCCCTCCTCCCTCCGCCCCGGAAGCGGAAGACGGAGGCGGTTCCGGCCGCGGTCCTCCGAGTCCTCCGGCGGCGGGGGAACGGCCGGGGCGCGGCGCGCCGGCGGACCGGGAAGATGGGCGAAAAGTCGAGTACCGGCGTCACCGACGCTCTAAGGTCACTTTTTGTGCCGTCTTCCTCCGTACCGGTGGGGTTCCTCGGGCGCCGCCGCCGCCGCCTCGCGCCGCTTCCGCCGTTCCGATCCGGCCGCCACGTAGGAGAAGACGCAGAGGACTGCATAGCAAATCTGGTCAGCCTGCGGGAGACACAAGGCGCCTGTTAGAGCTGACGGCCACGTCACAGACACACAACACACACACAACGACCAGTGCTAGCTACGGCGGGGTCGACGGGTGAGGGAGCAGGAATCGGACGTTCGGGATCGGTGGGCCACTTCCACCGCTATGACGCGGTGGACGGCCAGAAAGAGGAGTCCGGCCTGTGCGGGAAGGCAAGCAAAAGACAGGTAAAAGGTTGGGACACACCATGTGCAAAGCGGAAACAAAAGGGAAGACAGGCACTCGAAAAACGATGCGGTCGTTCCTACAGCGCGGATTCCCAGATACGAACCCGCTACTAAGCCGGAGTTCGTCTCCCCGCCGCCATCATCTCCCTAAATCCCAGTTACTTTCCAGAAAAAAATCCCCATCGACCGACGAACCGGACAAATACTCGCGCGCTTTTCCCGCTGCAAAAAAATAATAACAGGGGGCGCCTCCGTCCCGTTCCGCTACAAAATACACCGGGCGAGCTTAAAACTTGGATAAATAGTTCCGGGAAACGACTCGACGGCTCTCCGCTACGTTTTCCTCCCTCCGAAATCGGTTTGGGCTAACGGATCCGAAGGGGAAAACACCTCGCCCCATTTATATATTAATAAAAACAGCTCCTTCCCCGCCGTTTTCCACGACGGGGAAGGAGCCGTTTATCTAATACAATCGTTCGTATTCTTCGCTGGTGCGGAACGGTTTTTGGGAACCGTTCGTGCCGGTTAATCGGTTACCGAATTCCCCGCGCCATCCGGACCGAAAAACGCAGATAAACACTTATGCTCCGTTAATTTCCGTCTTCTTCCCGCATCGATTAGAGATGGAAAATTTCCGCCCTTCGAAGCCACCGCGCTCGAGGACCTTCTTCTTTCTTGAGGGACTTTACACGCGGAACCCGTAAAAAACCCCCATTTCCCACCTTTGTCCACCTAAAGATTACGGATAAAGGCCTTACGCGGCCGTCTTTATACACTTATACATATATAAAAGAAACTTACTCCGAGATGCCACCGAGGAGCCAATGTTAACGACGATAAACCGTATTATAAAGTACGACCACGGATGCGACCTCGAGCTCTAACATATTGTCACTTCTTACGCGCCGACATACTAACCCGATATTACCTAAACGGGTCGGAACGTAGCGTCGAAGCGCGCGTGTGACGACCCTCTATTGTCGATTTTTAAAACAACAATAATAATAATAATAATACAGTACTTACGACCGTCGCCGTGTCGTCACGCGGTTGACATATTTACTAAAGAGGAGAAGAATCCGCGCTCGGACGGGGCGAAAAACAGGATGAGGATGGGGCGGGGGTTCGAGCCATTATCGGCGGCGGGGAGGGGTTGAAAGGGGAGGCGACAGTCGAAGTAATTCGACCGGTTTCCGGCATCGACCGCATCGAGTTTCGAGCGCTTCGGTAAGGCTAAAGAAGGGAAGGCGAAATCGGAGGAAAGGCACTCACCATCTGAGATTTGTACTTCCGTTGAATCACCTGCCTCGTTTTGGGATCTGAAAAGAGACAAAAGGACGGGGGTCAGAAGTCGCGCGTGGGGGGGAGGGTGGAGATCGGCGGCACGTTCGACCCGACGTTTATAACGGGAGGAAGATCGAGTTAACGCTAGTTTCCTCTTTCCTCCCCTCTCTTATTTTCCCCCCACGTACGGGACTTCGACCAGACACGTAGCTTTACGCAAATAACTGGGAGTCGAATTTCCGCCTCCCCCGATTCGAAGATTATTTTTAAATTACAGAACGAATCGTAGAAATAATAATAATAATACAAGTAATAATAGAGCTTCACTTACTGAACTCCTCCAACACAAACATCCTTCCCTTCTGCGTGAAGCACTTCTTTATGTTCGCCAGTCTGACAAAGAACTGTAATCAAACTGTTGAATATAGTCTGTCCCATTATACAGAATTTTTAATAAAAGAAATTGTTTTTTTTTTTAATGACGGCGGGTAGCTTACACTTAAAAAGAAGCAATTATTACGAACAAATGAAATATTTAATTATACACATTAAAATGATCGTCTCACAATTTTGAGTATATATTTTCGTTCACTATAATAATAATAATAATAAATGACCACTTTCTCATGCATAGCCGTTCGTATCAAGATCATCAACTCATGCAGTGTGCGGGAGACTGTCGTGTGCACGGGCATGCCCCATCGATTATGCAGTATATATATATATATGTGTATATATATATTCCATATAACACAGGCTCACACTCTCGCAGGCAGTTCCCTCGTATGGGGGTGAGGTAAAAAAAACAATCACGGAAACAATCACGGAACAGAGATACGAAGACGTTTTGAGACAGCAGATAAAACAGCATCTCCGATTCGTCCAGAGCATTGTTAACGTGGTCCACGCGGTGGGGGAGGGGGTGGACTAGGCACCGATTACATTCCGCTTTACTTAAGCCTGTAACGGAACCTAGAAAGTAGTCTCTGCCTTTCTATTCGATCCGAGAATTAAATCCGGTTCGTTTGGCGTAAGAGATTTGCTGCGGGAATACCTATAAATGTAATGGCGAAATTTCGGACTGTAAAGAATGCCGGAAGTTGGAGGAGCGATAGAAGAAACGAAGTGGATGGTCCGAGACCGGAATGGGAGGAAACTGCCTGTCGCAGCAGGCCAATCTCCGAACATGGGATGACACGCGAACGAACCAACTTCCGTATTACCGAGTGGAAAAAACCGACCCCCCTCGTGGACGGGCCTGCCACTTGGATTTTCCCAGTCTTCTTCGCGTGGAAATTGTCACCGATTCGGCCGTAGACACATAATATACCTTCGAGACACTACGGAAACTGTTTGTTTACTTATATTACTTAACTCTGCTTTTCTTTCCGTCCGTAACACCTAAATAGGGGGCCGGTTTCCCCGTAGAAAGTCCTTCCTCCCGGGATCCAGGACTTTCTACGGGGGGAGGGCGGGCCTTACACAGTTAATACACGTTACTTAACAATGCTCTCTCGAATTAAGGTATTTATTACAATCCCCCGTTTACCGCAATCATAAACTATTAACCGGAACTCGAGTTTCTTCTTTTTAAATTCTATTTAGAGGCAATGTTTTAGTCACTTTTTTACTTTAAATTCCCGATAATTTTTAATTAAAAATCGATAAACTTGCGGGGAATTAGGGAATTACGGTGTATTTTAAGCACATTTTTTAGTAAAACGACTCACCCTTACAAACACGTCCTTATTATAATAATAATAATAATAAATAAGGATTTATTTGTATAAATAAACACACTACAAGCCCACAAAATTAGAAAGAATTTATTAGAATTATTTACTTATTTAAAATTAGATTTTTAATAAGAATTAATATATAAAATGCACCGATTTTATTAAGGTTAGTTTATGAATCTTAACATTAAAAAAATAATAGTAATAATGATAATGTTTAATTATAATTATTATTCAGTCAATCTGTTATACAGCGAGGTGAACATGCTGTGCTCCAGAACCCACAAATGAACACATGATTATCCTTCAAAATTCAACAGAGAAATCGAACCCCCCCCCGTTTCGACTTCATCTCCCTCAGTGTTGCTGTGTTTTTACCACCTTTTAAATTAACCACACACACATATATATACAGAGATAATAATACATTTAAAAACATTAAAGCCAAAATAAACAAGAAGCAATAGCCTCAAGCATTTGATTTCTTTTTTTTTTTACCATGAGTTACCACCGGTTTTTTCTATCAATACCACTAAGGGGACGTGTACGCAACACACGAACCGCTCTCTCGTGTTTTATACTGCTGTCACAAGGGGGTGGAGAAATAATAATTGGAAAAAAACACACAAATTCCGCTACTAAAACACTACAATAACGGGTCATGCACGTATTTGTATAGTTACGTAAAGGCTATGCATTCGTGCAAGTGGTAGGTACGAAAGCAGGAAAGGAGCAAACACAAGAGAGGAATAGGTGCATTTCTATTACTAAATCGGGATCGTACAAGTGCCAGGAAGAAACTTTGGAGATGGTCAATAACAATCAGAATCGACTACAAAACTAAAGCAACATAATACCATGCTTAACTAGCAATGACCCTCTAATTGATCGTGTGCAACATCTCGAGCCCCCAACACATTTACTGACTAAAAAAAAAAAAATAACAAGAAAATAATAATATAATAATCATATATATATATAACCACAATCACGCCGTTTATAGTACGATGCACGAATAATTTATGTCTAGAGTCACATTTTCTTTAATTCTTTATCGTTTTTCACAAAAAAAAAAAAAAAGAAAAACAAATTGCAACTTCCACTCTAGACACAGCAACAAAAGGAAATGAAGGGCCTATGTACCTCAAAGTCCTTTGGAGGATGGTTCGTGTCAGGCACCGAATTGGCATTAAAAAAGGAAGGAAATCCTTTTAGAGATTGTGCTGCAGATCAGTATGATCATGTATTTTGTCATAAATTTCAAAAAAATTATAATATCTTTTGGACCATCTCAAAAGTCCCTTCGCTTGCTACCGGCTCAAAAACTGTGAGACGTATTACATATATATATATATATTTACATTAATATATTTAGAATTAATTACACACCGCGTAGTTTTATCATTTAGAGTAACAAGGTTTGGAAGTGCATGCATAAGAAGAGTAGTAGTACATTCCAAAAAGTTTTATATGAATGCTAACAGTTAAGCTCCACTCGGAAGGAAAAAATCATAAGAATAATAATAATAACATTCCAAAAAGGCAGCGTGACAAAAAAAATAACTACACCAGCACAAAGGCAATGTATATATATACATATATATAAATTCAGCTGCTTAAAAAAAAAAGGAGGTTTCTGTAAAGAGCAGCTGGCTCTGAAAAAAATTGTATGGAAAAATAAAAGAATAATAATAATAATAATAATAATATATATTGTCACTTTTGTGTGACACGAAATGGACAAAGCAAGCCAGAGGAGATTTTTGAGAAGGTCCTTGCTGTGAAAAATTAGAATAAAAAATAAAAATAAATGCCACAACAGAAAAAAAAGAGGCTCACCACAAACCACAGACAACAGAGAGGTGCTTTTATATAAGTAACAGAGTCAAGAAGAAAAGGAGAAAAATAACAATAATAATAATAATAATAATAGTAACAATAATCATAATAATAATAATAATATATGTTTTTTTAAATTTAAAAAAAAAGCAATTTAATTCTTTAAAGATTCAAAACTTATCTACTTACACATTATACACACATGTATATATATATAAAACTATGTCTATTTATAAAAATAAAGGAAATTCCTTTAAAAAAAAAAAAAAAAAAAAAAGGAAAAAACATAGCTTTTGATGAAATCTTGCAAATAAAAACTGTTTTTTATCTTTACTTTAATTAAAAATAAATAAATAAATGAAAAGTCTTCGTGGCCAGCTGAAATGTAATGCTATTACTATATTTAGTACATTTACACACAGACAGACAAACACACAAAAAAAAAACCATCATCAAAAGAAAAAAAAAATGAAATTAAAACTGATTTATTACTTATACACCTAGAAATAATTATATTTCAATATAAGGAAGAATAAAAAAGACATTAAAACATTGGGAACAAAGTGTCTTCTGGCAGAAAATGGCTCCTCAATTACTCTGCTTTAACTGGAAAACTGCAATTCAGACAGACACTTGGATTTTGCCGAAAAAAAGAAAATAACTTGCTTTTTGACCGTTACCAGAAAACACTTTTAATGTTTTATTTTTTTCTTTCTCTTTCTGATCTGCAGCTCTAAAATTTCTCTCTGCTAATATATATTGCAGAATTAAAAAAAAAAATTAAAAAAAGTACAAATATATGATGGTGTAAGAAAGTAGAATATATATATTTATATAAAACAAAAAATATATAGTTTGTTTTGAGAGACAAGCTGTGCTCACCTTGCTGTTGGCAAACAGTAGGCCGACACCCTTCATGCACACCTGTAGTAGCCCCCCTTCCCCCGTTCTCATGTCCTGAACTGGGAACACTCCTCCCAGCTCCTTCCCTATAACAAAGTTCATACCCACTGTCCCATGATGTGAATTGATTGGACAACAACATGTCTCAGGTGCACCTCACAAATAACAATGAATTCCCACTCCATACAACTGAAAGCAACACAACAGTTGGCTTAGTGTGTTCTAAAACGGATATCCACCTGTTACGGTGGGGAAGGCGTATTTATAATTAAAGAGGCCATGGTCATGCAGCCGTGTGCAAACTAAGATACTTGAGGCTAGTGCGCGGACTCTTTGAGTGCACAAGGTATATATATATATATTAAAAAATAATCGTCATGCAGTCATAACATTAACCATGCAGTTTCTTAAGAGTTAGATTACACAAAATAAAAAAAAAACAAAAAAAATATATATATATATATTTGGTGAGCTATCATTTTCTATAATAAACTCATGCCCTTCTACACCAATAGACCTAATGTGTATTAATCAAACTCTCATGCTAATTTCCATTTATTAAAAGAAAAAAAAATTATTATAATATATTTTTACAGTTTGTTTTACATATATTCTACTACAAGCTACATTTGAAAATTTTTATATTATAAATTATTATAAATTATTATATGATTTTGAATACATTATATTATATTAAAATAAATATATTACATCCCAAAATATTCAATTTCTCATTGTACTCTTTGTCTTACATCACTAAAGTCAATAAACATCCAAGCTATCTCACATGATTATCTAATAATCACTTACTTACAGATTAAAAAAAAACAACACTACAGCCTTATTTAAATGAAAAAAAAACAAACAAGAAATGTTTTGACATTTGTTTTTTCTCAATTTTCCTATTAAATAATTAATTAATTAATTAATAAACAAACACATTAACTTCTATATTATCAAGGCTTATGAGAGAATAATAGTAAAAACAATTGCAAACTGACCGATACACACGTCTCCTTGAAGTCTGCAACTCATGATACTCCTGGAATCACATTAAACAGAACTACACATTTTTTTTTTAAATTATTAATCATGTGTGAGATAGCATTTTAACTACTTCCCATCTACTATCATATTTTTAATTATATAATGAAAAAAATAATTTAAATTACCTTTCGGTTAGGCCGCCTTTGGTTAGCGAAGAAGCGAAATATCGGTTACGTGTAAACTGCATACTTTAAATTGGTTTTTTTTTTTTTTTTAACAAAGTGTATCCGTGGCGTGCGTAAAATGTACGGCGACTGTTCTCTTTCCTGCGTGGTTGCTCCGAAACGTGCCGCTCGAGAATCGTTAAACGAACTTATCCTTTTGCCTCCGGAGTTAATTTAGCGTCGGGAACGGGAGAGGGTCGCCGACGGGCTCCTCCCGCCTCGGGGAGGAGGGCGGGACGTTCCGTGCCGTCCGCGCCGGAAACGGGCCGTCCGGAGTCGACTCATGCACCCCGCGCTCCGTTTCCGACGGTCGGCGGGACGCATGCAACACCGATCCACCAGCCCTCCATTCGGACGAAGCGGATAAAAAAGAAAGCAAGCAAGCGGAAGGAAAAAAATGCACACGGACAGAAGATACTTATTGAGATGTAACAAGAAGAGAAAGATATATATATATATAATATATATATAATTATAAACATTCATTTAAAATGTTAAAAAAGTTTAATAAATATGGACACCACAGTGCATATTACAACTCTTGTCAGCAAGAAGGGAGGCAAAAGGGTCTTCTGTATAAATGCATCATCACATAAATATATATATGTCCAATTAACTTTTAAGTTAATGCAAAAAAGCATGCTGTCTTAAATATCTTCAAATACAAATATTGAAATTTTAAATATAAATTAATTAATGTAATTGAATAATTTAAAACATGCAAAAGATACAATGCAGTTTTTTCAGAATAATTTTAAGTTTTTTCAGAATAATAATATAGAAAAATAAGAAAAAAAGTTACATGTATACACAAAAAGAACTAAGTTTTTATGTAAATCTTTAAACTTTTTTCATATTTTAAGAAAAAAAAAAAAAGGAAACATGTTAATTAATAAACATTATATATCAATAAAAATAATCAAAACATATCAATTCATGTAATATAAATACGTACATATTAATCATATATAAATGTATTAGATTATATAATTAATATGTACGCGCACAAGAATAATAATAAGAATAATAGCAATTATAATAATAAAAATATATAAATATAATAAATAAATTATTAAGAGAACACTACAAGGCTTGGCTATAACTGCATCGGTTTTCCCGTTTCCAGAGGATGACATTAATAAAAAATACAAGAATTAGAAGAAGAAGTAAAAAAAATTGTTGCTGTCAGTTGTTTTGAATTACTAACAGAATTTGTAAAAATCTATTTCGAATTCATGCATCAAGTAACATGAGTTGAAGACTTGTGGAGATCACATGAGACATGCAGCCAGCCTTATCAATTAATTTTAACTTCAATTATTAAATTCACAAATGTCAATTAAATGTAAAATAATAAATAAATAAATGAATAAATGACTACTCCAAATTTCAATTAATTTTAAAATAAATGCCGAAAAAATATTTAATTAATAATATATTTACTCTTTAATTATTCAAAATCTTTAACTGCAAAATTTAATTACTGTTAAGCTTTACTTTTTTTTTTTTTAGGCGTTAGAATTAACTCTTAGACTTAAGTTATTATAAAAGGAATGACAAATTAGATGTTAACTAAAGACTGTTCGTTTCTACGGTTCGATTCCGACGCAGAAATGAGTGCTACGAAATAAATTTAAAGGTCGTGGCATCCTGTAAGTTGAAGCCGCAGATGTTAAAGTGTATTTTGACAGCAAAAATGTTTACTGTAAACGATTAAGAACGTTCACATTTTATTTTGTAATCATTTTATAAAACCTATCTAGCTCTCTGCACATCTACATAGTTTCAGTTTTTTTACAAAGTAGTATCGTAATTAAAATATTTTAACTGTAGTAAACATTTGTGGTAAAACAATTAACGCAGCTAAAAATTAAAGCAGTCAATTTTTAATTTCAGAATATTAAATACAGGGTGTTCCCCCGATTGTCTCTAGTTTTAAACTGTTCGGTAAAATCCATTTGTTTGATTACGTGAATAAAATGTGTTCGAGAAATGTGTCAGTCGATATTCAAAATTTTGTGCGAATATGATCAAAAGGACCTCTGCCACCATACGGTCACCATACATAGCCAAAGTCCTATTTCTCGGTTCTCCCAACCGCCCGACACCATCTCCGAATCTTTTCTCTGTGGGTAATGTCGAGAATCCTGCACATGCTACAAAAATGCCAGACACGAAAGCCCGCATACAAGGACTGTGTATTCTGTCGACTACGCGACTCCTAATGTGTCGGCTCGGAAGTGAGCCCAAATCTTATAAAGACCAACATTGTGCAGTCGTGCCGGAAGCATAAATGGTAGTATACTGATTTAAATGTACAGTGGGTGATCGGTTAACGAACATAATCCGTTCCAAGACTTTGTTCGATTATAAACATTCATTTAAAATGTTAAAAAAGTTTAATAAATATGGACACCACAGTGCATATTACAACTCTTGTCAGCAAGAAGGGAGGCAAAAGGGTCTTCTGTATAAATGCATCATCACATAAATATATATATGTCCAATTAACTTTTAAGTTAATGCAAAAAAGCATGCTGTCTTAAATATCTTCAAATACAAATATTGAAATTTTAAATATAAATTAATTAATGTAATTGAATAATTTAAAACATGCAAAAGATACAATGCAGTTTTTTCAGAATAATTTTAAGTTTTTTCAGAATAATAATATAGAAAAATAAGAAAAAAAGTTACATGTATACACAAAAAGAACTAAGTTTTTATGTAAATCTTTAAACTTTTTTCATATTTTAAGAAAAAAAAAAAAAGGAAACATGTTAATTAATAAACATTATATATCAATAAAAATAATCAAAACATATCAATTCATGTAATATAAATACGTACATATTAATCATATATAAATGTATTAGATTATATAATTAATATGTACGCGCACAAGAATAATAATAAGAATAATAGCAATTATAATAATAAAAATATATAAATATAANGTTCAGTGAAGTGTTCGTTATCCGAACATGTGTTCGTTGTCCGATCATAAAAATCTTTCGCGAAAGTGTTCGTTATCCAATTTGTTCGTTAACCGATCACCCACTGTAGTAACTTTTTTGGGACACAATTTCAATTCCCATTGTCTACAATACCATACTCAAGTTTTCCCCCCAAAATTAATCTACAACACAAGGTACTTTTGTGGGGAACACCCTCTATATTTTGCAATGCTTAAAATTCTGTAATGAAAAATTCAATCTCAAACAAATGGAGTTGCAAGCATTTTCAGAAATAAATCTTTAATAATTGAAAAATATGAGCAAGGTGGTTTGCAAGTAAGACTTAGAAATAAGAATTGTTTGGAAATTATCTTTTTTACAATTGGAAACTTTCATTTTTGAATGTCCAAACTACTAAGTTTCCTTTAACAAACTATCAAAATTGAATAAACATTTTTCAAATGAATATTTAAATAAATGAGTTCATGAAATACACATTTATACCAGTCTTTAGTTAACATAAAATTAGAAAAATAATATATCATGAATAGAATATAATATTTATTCATTAAAATTCTTACCTGGCATCGCACCATTTCCTCTCTCTGCAGCTCTTTCCATTGCTTCTTTTATACAATAATATAAATCTTTACACTACAAGAAATTTTTAAATCTCTTTTTTTAATGTTTTCAAACCTTTCAAATTAAACTCTTTGAAATACATTACTTTTCGCGTATAATACTTCTGCAGTTGAGTCTGACCACCATTTCTCTTCCAGAAACACAGAACTTTGTTCTGAGGACTGAAAGTCATGTTGACCACTCTTTCGTACCACCATCTTTCCACGATCGCTCCATTTATGCTCCGGAGTATTATGCCATCGTCTCTGACCTAATAATTGGATAATGTTTACGAATAAAATTAGTATTTGGAATTTCTCTTATCTCAAGAAGTAATAATGGAACTTACTTCCATAAATAACATATCACCCGTAGCATCTGTACCAGAATGAACAGTGAAAGATTGACAGTGCATTTGTCTACTTCCTAAAGGCTTCAGATCAATATCGTTTCCATTCTATATTTTAAAATACATTTATGATTAAAATAAATTAGGTAGAAATTTATCAGTTAAATTGTTTCATGAACATTTCAAATAGTATCAAAATTGTTAAATGTCAAAGTTTATTCGAAATTTGACTTTTTAACCATTTATAAGGCCAATATATTTACAAATTCAAACATTTTAGCCATTATAAATTTTAAAAGAATCTAAATAATTTAAAGGTGAAACCTCATGGCCTACCAAATTATTTATTTGATCCAATAACTCGTTTACTTCTGCACTATATACTAAACTGATGTGACATTTGCCCAACAGTCGACAGGTTTTGCGACGAATTTCGGTTTTATTTACATTCATCATTACCATAAAGGCAACCATGTTGTATAGCATCGTAGACAGCAGTCTATCTTCATCGTGTTCTAATCTTTTTTTATCCATTTCAGACAATGATTGATACCTGTAATAAAAGATAATAGTTTTATGAGATCTAACAAACTACTCTAATGACAACCGTTATTATGACAACATTTAGTACCAAACGAAACAAAATGATGATTAAATCATGGTTTTATTTTGTTAAAAATTAATATTTATAAATTTTATTTATTGTGTAGAATTAAATTTTATTAAAAAAACAAGAAAGAAAGAACAGGCAAAATCATTTGGTGCTGTAAAAATATGCTGCCGCTGTCATCAATATCTCTGGTGATATGTTAATACGAGTAATGGATGGCTTCCGACACCACTTAGAAGAATGCGTGGTGCAGCACGGCTGTCATTTAATCAGAGTCATATTCAAACATTTATATAAATTACATTCCTGTAAGTACTGTTTAACAGAGAGGAATAAATAAAAAGCAGTTGTTCACTTATGGTGTGATTTTATAAATATGCTATGAAGGCTGACACATCCTGTATTTTTAATTTAAAGGTATCACACAGTAATATAACAAGAAAAACAAAAGGCAAGCACATAAATCATCTCACCTTTCCATCATTTCCGAAGGATCCTGGTCCATTCCGACCATATCCCTTTCTTGAGAAACTGCATCGAGAAATGCATCCTCCCAAAATTGTACTTGATCCCAAAGGCCAAGTCTCTCTTTCCCTTTAAGAATAAAAATATTTTAAAATTAAAAAATATACAAAATGATAATTTTATTTTTCTAAATTAAACATTTTTACCAATAAGACCTTCAAAAAGGTACGTCCTTCTGCATTCCGGCCCCGGATTGGAACTTGTATTAATCATGCTACCTCCGTGATAGCGAAAACCGGCACTCAGACTACTCTTGCTACTCCAGACGCTGGGTGTCCGTTTTTGTCGCGCGGCTAAAAACTTTAACGAAACATTTTAAAAATAAATAAATTTACCATTTTGAATTAAATTTTATATGATTATTTTGATCGAATTGAGTTAAGTAAAATAAATTTTATATTAATTCATTTAAATTTCAAATATACTTACATTTCCTGCTTCGATCTCACTGTCAGATACTGTAGAACGAAAAGAATTATGACTAATGCGAAGATTCCTATAATATGCAGGATTTGTCGTCACACTTCCCGTGTCGCTGGCATTACAACTCGGTACGGCAGCGTCGGAACTTTGACTCAATGCCGTTCCAGTTTCGGATACCTAAAATTATATGTAATTTTTGAATATTCTGACTGAAGTTATTTAAACTTTTATTCTGCCTTAAACATGTAATTATAAACTACAACTAACTAATGTATTTTATAAATTAATAAGTTTGTTTTTAGGATACTAAATATAAAATATACAGCTATATCTTATATTTTTAAACAAACAATAAATTATCACTAGACAAAAAAAATGATTACAGATTAAAATATAGAACAAAAGATAAGTAAATATATTATATTAATAAAAATAAACAGAAAAAAGGTCCACTTACTTCCGAATCGACGCTCGTTATCCTCGAGAATAGGATGTTGCGTTTGGCATTAATTATACTGCGAAACATGTCGGAGGCTTCTTCATGCTCAGAGCTTTCTGGAGATGGTGTAATTTGAACATCAGTATAGCCAGATTCGTGGTATCGCTGAGGGCTTAACTCTGATCCTAAAGAGTATCACAGTATAAAGGACAACAAACCTCAGTCTTCCTCTATATATGAACTGTACAAGGTAACATCTTCACTCGCAACTAAGGAACTCAATTTTTTTTTAAATCAAAACTATTAGACAAGTTTAGTTCGAGTTTTGAAATGGCTCGTAAAATTTTAACGATTCGAGCATACATTTTAATCTGCGGTTCTAAAATTGATTCTAAACTGCGAGGGCTATCGCATACTACAAAGATTAATTTTAATAAAAATATTGAAATGTAGATTCAGTTAAAAAAATGCCATAGAGTTAAGAACACATTGTTTATTCTTTGATCAAATTGACGAACTTTTATAGAAAAAATTTGAATCTATTTTAAAGTTTAATTGAAAAGTAGATGCAATGTAACAAAATTAGCAGATATTTTCCAACTATAAACAAAGAAATAAAATTTTAATACATCAAATTTCTATTCTTTGTGAAAAATATACATTCAATATTTGTTTATTTACTCCTCCATTTATAAGTAAATTATTGATCAGTTCTTATTGGAGAATAGCGACTACTGTACTTTAATTTTCCGAATCAACATTAAAACAGATTCAAGTTTTTAATAAAATATATATAGAATATCTGAAATCTATATTCAGACAGTAGTTTACAAATAAGATTAAAAAAAGTAACAATCACGAATGTCTAATAATAAAATAATAATTGAAAATTTAATTTTAATAAATTTAATATGAATATGAAATCAGCCAAAATGTAAAATTAGTAGAAATCATATTTAAAATTAATAATAAGTTTTGTTTTCTCTTAGAGGAATACTGAGATTAATAATCCATTTAAAATACTGTAGATTACACATTATTTTTAAGGTAAGTGAATTTTTTGTTCTTAATGCTTTACTTCTTAACATGTTAACCGCTATCCGACGCGCCGGAGGTTGTACTAATTCGGGCCACTCAGAGCCATCCGATCGCCCGACGTCGCTATAACCAATGTAGTTTCACTCAAGGCTAAATTATCCTGGCTTTGTAAGACATTATTTTACATCCTAGTGGTGGCGCACATCTATGAAGTTGGCTCTGACTGCCAGCAGTCTTATAGCTCCGAACGGCCCTAACTACTATGGCAGCTGGAGCGTCGTATGGCTCTGTGGTCACCAGTTCGTGTGAAATTACTCATTACAAACAGGGCCACATACAATAAAAGATTATCATTTATTCTCTATATGAATTATGGCGCGACTGTACAAGTTAAAACACGAGGTGTTACTACACACGTCTGCAAGGTCCAAAATCCAACTAGAATGTGTATGATGTCATAGGTCAGGTCAGGGGTTCCCCCTTGTGGCGGCTTTGGAATTTATCGCCAAAGCTGTCGCCACAGGCTCTGTAGGGTCCTAATTAGTACAACCGTCGGCGCATTGGATAGCGGTTAACGTGTTAAAATGCAAGCTCTTCCAAAATGAAATGCTACCATTTTAAATTATTGTAATTATATTAATTATAACCTGAGAGGTGTGTGATGTATGCCAATCTATAGAGTACCATCTCCTGCCTGTATTTAAAAATCATCATCATCTAATACTCCACAAAGTACTATAAATAAAAACAGTGACTCTTAAATACAGGAGTTTTGCATTTCACAGTTTGCAAAATCAAAATTGTGCCATGCCGCATTGTGGCGCAGGAAGAGTGACGACAAATATGCCATGTGGAGTATAGGAAAAATTTGAGTATCAGTTTGATACAAGGTACACATGTCAAGAAATTATAATGGGCAAATTTGGCTTTCCAATGCTCTAATGTATGATACAACATTCTCAGATAATAATTAACATAATTATAACTTTAAATGATAGCATTCTTCTTGGAAAACCCTGGGTACATATACTTACAAATAAACACACACATATATATATACATATGTTAAGAATTAATGTATAACATAAAATAAATTACATTGTTTCTAAATATGTGGTACATTCTTTACAATTAGAAATAATTTATTAAAACAAATATAAAAAAAAAATAATAATAATAATAATAGTAAAATAAACTATCACGTTACATCTCTGAAAAATCATTAATCAAATTATATTCAAATTATAATTTTATTCGGGTAAATGAATATACCAGAAAATAAATATAAGCAATTCTTCAAATATTTAACACATTAACTGTTATGTCAATTAAAAGTAACACAGCTGAGCCAAACAAAACATACATATGTTAAGAATGATCACATGATCAACAAATAGTAATGGTAGTTTAATGATACTCAATGAAAACACTTTGTAACAAATATAATATAAAAAAATGGGAACAAACTGCCTTAATGAAGTCAAAGAATTATAATAAAGGTGTAACGTTTTTTGACTAACATACAATCAGAGAATATAAACTTGACATTCGATAAGGTAATACATCGTATTATCAATCGTTGCCACAAACAAGAATATGAAGTATTATGGTACAAAGTAGAGATGTTGGAAGAAGTTTGTACCAGAGAAAATATTTCCATAACAGAAGAGTTATGAACTTTTCAAAGAAGCCTTACGTGCGATATAATTTAATTTAAATGTCGTATCGACAAATGCCCACAGCCCGAAGATGGCTCGTTTCTGCAAATGTGTAAAATTTGGCCATTGTAATTGTATTTAATTTTTGTTATTTTATTTAAATTATTCATTTTGGTTGTATATTTTACAATTTTTTAAAATTTTATTCGCTGTTTAATACTTAATTTAAACAGCGAATAAAATCACTTTCGCTACATAAATGGAAGTTTGGTATCTACAATGATGTTGTTTGGTCAAACTTGTTAACCAAAAATGTTAATGTCATTATTATACAAGGTCATGTTCGAAAATAATGAAACTAAATTTGTATCTTGCATTGCGGCAATGCAGTAATGTTCCTTTACATAACAGTCAATGGTGCAATCCTTCCTAAACATTTGGTGTAAGTTTTAACCTTATCATGTTGACGTAATGCGTATTATTGAAGATTTAGTGTATGTACGTTTCGAGCAGTGATTGTAGAATAATGGAGAAACATATCGAATGACAATGTTCGGTAAAATTTTATATAAAATTGAAAAAACACGAAACTGAAACTTATAATGCATTAAAAACTGTATATGGTGTGATGTTCTGTCAAGTGTTCATTGGCATAACATGTTTTCAGAATTTGTGAGTCAGAATCGGATGCTTTCGACTGTAAAGCTTAGTTCACACTGGGCGCGATTCACTAGCGAAAGCGAAAAACAGAGCAAATAACCCGTCAAACGAGTCATGTTTGACCGGCTATTCGCTCTGTTTTTCGCTTTCGCCAGCGAATCACGCTCAGTGTGAACTAAGCTTAAGCAATAATGTCAAATAGGCATGGATTGTCACTCTTCAAGACTGACAAATGACACTTAGAATTATCATTTTAACAGTTATAAGTCATCGTCAGAAGTCAAAACATCGTCATTTTGAAACCATTGAGATATCCAAAAAGACATACCCAACACTGTGCAACAATCAGCAAAAATGACTTCCAGAGATTCTACAAGGCATGAAAAAAATCACAAGACGAGTGTATTACGTCAGAAGGAAACTACTTTGAATAGTTTTAAAATGTAACAATTTTGAATAATTAATTTCTACTAAAATTATTCTCATTACTTTTCAATTATATCTCATATTTAAAACTTCATTTAAGAAGTTTTTCCCCATTTTTTTTTTTAATGATTGGCATTTCAAATAATAAAATAATTTTTAAATTAAAAACTAAATCTGAATTTTAGTTTGGTTTAATTAGCTGAACGTCATAAGAAATACTTCTCAATAATTTACAATAAATAATAATTAGAATATCATAAAATTATTTGGGAAAGATCATATTTGTTTTACTTGCCAAATAACTTTAGTTTGGTTATTAATTGATAAGAAAAAACTTATAACAATCAATTAAAATAACATCTTAGATCATGTGATACATCAGGTTTTCAGTAGTTCCAATTTTGAGGAAAAAACTAAACTTTATAATTGGCAGTTAATGTGTTCATATATACACATGGTGTTCCAAAACGAATATTACCATTTTAAATTACTGTGATTATGTTAATTATTATCTGAGAAACATTCTATATACACTAACCGATAGAGTTTTGTCTCCTATCCACATTTGAACGTTCTGTCGCATACTACTTCCAGGAATGTCAACAAAAATGTCAACTTTGCAACAGAGAATGCATTGTGCATAAGTCAGAATCACTCATCGTCATGCAACACAAGTAATCTGAGAGAGCTGTAAAATTTCAGTTGCCACAAAAGGAGTGTTGAAGGATACGTCATAGCTAGCATAGGAAGAATTTCAGTATCGGTCGAATGCTTGTCATGCAAGGCGCAAGAGTTAATAAACTGTAATGGGCAAATGTGAAACTTGGAGGGGTTTTCCGATGTTTTAATGTATGTTACAACATTCTCAGATAACAACATAATTGCATTAATTTAAAACGGTAGCATTTGTTTTGGAAGACCATATATACTGTACCTGAAGAAATAAATAAGTAGATGTAATAAATATCCTAAATTAATTGCAACTTTTCAATTTTAGAATAAAATTAAATTTTAGTGTATATTTTTATATGTTATTAATTGTGTATATTTTCTGCATTTTTATTAGGCATTTCCTTTCATACACATTGTTTTCTGTTTAAAACAAACAGCTAATTGAAAAGAAATTATAAATATATCATAAAAAATTTTTTTCCTAAAAGAATAGGAATAGAAATATGTCAATAGTGCTTCTTTGCGTAGATGTGTAGCACTACAAATTTGAAAAGTTATTGACATTTACTCTATAAAATAAAGCAGAACTTCTATCATTTCACCATAAATTTAATTTAATTTATTGAATCTATTTTTGCACAGCCTTCAATTCAGAGAAAGATTTTATGAAATTTCATTTTAAAAAATTTCTAAATAAAAATTTAAAAATTAATTAACTATTAGCTTTTTATTTTAAAGTTTTAAGTTAAAATTTATCATCAATACGTAAATAAGGCTTACTATAATGATGGTCGGTTGAATGGCCTCTCTCGTGTACGTCACGATCGCTACTGGACACGGAAGAACCTCTGTGAGGTACGTCAGACGGACTGCTATTTGTGCTACTTTTGCTAGATCCTATATAAATTCATGCTTTAATTTAATGTAATTTTAAATATAATTTTTTCAATAATTATCATTGCACAAACTAAATTCTCTGAGAACGAATCACATTTATGAACTGACTTCAGAAATTATTATTTATCTCAAAATCGAATACGCAGAAACCAAGTTAAAATATTTCAAATAATAATACAAAATATCCAATTGTTTAATTGAATTAAAACCACATTCTTTGATGTTTCTTAATAGAGTATTTTGCCATACCTAGAGATACTCCGGCATGTTCATCTTTTGTTGGATCGGCAAGATGTTTGTAAAGATTTTCTCCACTTCCAAAAGGACTACTTCCCTGAAAAGAGTTTTTCCATTCTTTTAAATATGTAAACAGAAGAAGAACAAAAGAAACAATTGAAAATAATTCCAACTTTCAAAAAATTGCATCAAAAAAATTAAAATAATCATTTGTACCCGGTAATAATTTTTACGTACCTGAGAAAGTGATGCCGTGGTAGCCGTCGCGGCATCGAGTTTTTGCTCATCGGACAGTTCCCGCGCCCAATAATGCGTGTGAGCTATTTCCAACACCTGTAACGTACTCGCCATGCCTCCGACGCCTTTGGTCGTGTAGGTGAGTTCTAAACCGGCGACTACGGCCGTCAGCATTTTCAGCATTCCTCTCCAGACGGCTTTACTTACACACTGACATAAATATAAACAAAATATTAATTTTATTCATTTCGTAACCAAATATCCACAAATTACGTTGCGTCAACCTTCTACGTACCACATCCTCGATGTGATCGTCTGGGCCTACTTTTCTCTCCAGTGTCTTGTTGAGCCTAGAAACGACTAAATTTCGATAACTTTCGTCCTCCATCAATTTTTTTACTCTGTTCAATTTCAGCCAGCCCACTCCTTCGCCGTCCAGAACGGCATTTAATACCTCCTTTAGAAACTGCTGATTCTCGCTAATTAAAAAATGAATTTTTTAAAAATTAACTAAAAAAAACCCTTTGATGAAGAACGCAAAAATTTATACGAATCTATAAGTGTTAATAAGTTAAGTAAAATAAGAAAATCATAGACTAATTTATCATAAAGTATCAGTCAAGTGAAAATTATGTTAAATATGTTATTGAACATGCAAGTTAGTATTGTTAAAACACCTGTGAGATGTACTGCGAGCTTCTATATTTTGTATTCTCTGCACTTCCTGCTGTTTCTTTTGTTGACTACTGCTATGTTTAATAAGTGATGTTTTCTCAACTAATCCTTTCCTCCCTAAGATTAATAATATTAGTACAAGAACAGTATTTCAACAAAAATAAATTCCAGAATTCTACAGAAATTAGAAAACATTAGTAAATTTAGGCAATTATATTCTCATTTAAATCATTAATCATTCATATGCAATGAATAAACGAGTATATCGACATATACTAAGGAGTTAAACTAAGTTTTACCTTTCGGAAATGGCCCAAAAGGTTGCTGTCTTTCTTTATTTCTTGTTGTTGTACTGGTCCTTCCGCCTGCTTGTTGAAAAGGTTACAATTTTAATAATTTTCCCATTATTGTCACGTAATGTCAATTGAAATATACATTCAAAATAAAATTATCAAAACTTTAAGGAAGTGAGGATAGTAATTTTAATAGAAAATATGAGAAAATATTAACATTTGTCTGTCAGCATTATTATTTTCCTTGAAATATTACTATAAGTACTTCAGATTTCAGATTGTCTTCTTTGGGTATACAATAATGAAACCTTACTATTTAAAATATTACCAATTCTTAAACTATTTGGCGTCACACAAAGCAATTTCAAGCATTTAATAGAAAATAAATAGAATCTTTAGTGTTTCTATTTAATTGACGTTCATGCAGGATGAAAACTTACTGAACAATCCTGATATCATGCTGGATGTCTGCGAAGCAATTCCGTTCAGCTCGCTACTCATGGTGGATATGAGAGATCCCGAACTCGATACGCCGTCTCTCGTGGCCACTTCGGACGACTCCTGAATGCGTCTCTCTCGTTCTCTACTGATAGGTTCGCCCAATACTTGCAGATTCTTTTCAAAGAAAATTACTGATTATTAAAAACAGAAAACTTGAAAAATGTAGTAGTAGAAATTTGTATTTATATTTTTTACTTCTAATTACATAATTGTAGAGAAGTGTGAGACTTAAGGCCTGTTTGTACTTCAGAGAATATAAAAGAGAAGGTGTTACTAGGACATATATCTGTTCTCTTTTGGTTAGAGAGAAAAGTCTTGAGAAGTTCTATTGTTATCTTCATTGGTAGCCCACGATCCTTCACGTCCCTCAATATGGAGACTGATAAAATTGAAATGATTAGGACTAGATCAGAGTTATCTTTCATGAATCACCATAATTAATTGGGCTTTTTTATGTTGAAATTGATAATTAGAAATTAAGTAATCTGATACTAGAGGCAGATGTTAGGCACCATCTTGGTTGGGTTTAGTATTATTACATTTGGCTTTGGAATGTTTACATACACACACACACACACACACACACAGTATTTTAAGTTAATCAAATCTGAATAGATATTATCTATACAGACCTATATATTTAAAATTTACCTAAAATATCAAAAATTTTTAAATTATCTTAAACTATTTTATAAGATTATAGTAGTTTCCATTCTCTCTTCTTCTCAAATTAATCAATCACACACACTTTTAATTTTTTCTGAATTTTATGACTCGGGTTTCACTTTCCCTACACTACTTTCAAAGCTTTATTTCAGTGTTTCTCAACCTCTAACGAATCGTCGCCCCCTTCAACATAGTATCACCCCTTCAATAAAACCGTTACATAGTATCGATCTCTTCACTACAAAATTCCGATGCCGAGGGACACGACTAATGCCAAATTCGTACTGCATTGAATAGACTAGTGACTAGTATAATGTTATTTGTTTAATTATTGTATGATATAACGAATAAAATATCTAATTATCCTTAATATAATGTTTTACTATATTGCCCAGAAAATTGTTTTTCGCCCCCCAAAATATAAATTGTTACTAATCGCCCCTCAACATGGAAAAACGCCCACATGGAGGCAATATCGCCCCCATTGAGAAACACTGCTTTATTTTAAACTGCAAACAGTGAAAGCATACTTGCAAATCTCTTTTATTCTTTTGAAGTATGAACACCTGTGGAAAGAGAATCATAGAAGAGAGAAGCAAGACATTCTCTTCTTTCCCATTCATATAAAGTACAAACTGGCCATTAGTTCATTCACTTTTTTCTATTCTTATGTTGCAATTTATTATTTTTAAAATTTTTCTTTAGGATCATAATCCATAGCCTGCCTATTGATTTAATCATCTAATTAGGCCATATTATTTTGCCATTATTTTTTTTCAAACATTTATTACATTATTATTTAGCAAATTGTTTTATTACTTACTTTTAATAAAGTCTTTCTACCGGCTTCTCTAGCGGGTTTAGTTGCTTCCAAAGCCGTCTTGCTCGCTTCGACCGCTGCCTTGCTTGCCTCTCGAGCAACTTCACGAGCTTCTCTGGCAACGGTTTCTAATAATGAAGTTTGGCTATTTTGTTGAGTGAGAGTATTGCTGCTCATGCTACTGGCTCTACTGAGAACGCTGCTGATGCTTATTGTACGAGTTGGAGTGGGTACGGGAGTCGCGCCGCTGGATGGGATGATTTTATCTAAAGAAGGCTCGGTCGTGAGAGAACTTCCAGAACGAAACCTAGATATCGTGGCATGCTGCGCGGGAGGCTCTCTTTCTTGAGTGCTTTCGACGTCGCTACCCAAACTCTCCACGGGACTACGTCCGGGAAGCGGAGGAAGTGGAGAGACAACGGATCGAATCGTCGAGGGTGTGAGCGTCGACGTTTCGCCTTCTTGCCCGCTAAATACATCAGCTTCGGCATCTCCATGTTCCTTAAAAGAAGAAATATTCATTTATAAAAATTCAGAAATTGCATGTTTGATTAATTTTAATCAAATCCTCAATATTACTTCACTAATAATAGAACATTTGTTTATATGCATAGTCTTTTCAAATTATATACTGCATTTCCTATAATAGTCATCCAGTGAGCAATTTTTTTCACTTTTGATGAGCAAGGAATTGGAGTAAAAAAATATTAATGCAAGAAAAGAAAAAGCACAATTCGAAAAGAGGCAAAATCTAGTTAAATCGGAATATCGTGATGAATATTGTATATAAAAATAATTTGAATAAAGTACTCAAATTACTCAATATTGCCGCAAAGCAGATATTTTGTCGGACAGATTTTCGTCCATTAAAAGCAGACCATATTGACCTTTTGAAAATTGTTTGAATAGGAGTAACATTCACAAAAGAATTCCATTCTACATCTTTTTCAAGAGCATTCTTCTCTTCAATTTAATTTTTATTCAATTTACTGTTAATCAATTCGAGAAGTATTCTTAGTTGATAAGTTTCATGCTCCTAAGATTGTCTATTATTCTACCTGTGACAATAGAGAATCTTCCAAAAAAAAATGTTACTATTTTAAATTACTATAATTATTTTTTTGTAAAAAAGGGCTGGCAGAAATTACAATTTAATAAAATATAAATTTCAATACAAATACTAGTTGTATCTTGCTTGCTTGCCATGTCCAATCACCTGGAACAACCATTCTTCACTGCAGAGATGACCTTTCTTTGTAGGCTACAGCTCTGCACAAATATGTAAAATAGTCTAAAATGTTTACAAAGAAATGTAGCCTACAAAGAAAGGTCATCTCTGCAGTGAAGAATGGTTGTTCCAGGTGATTGGACATGGCAAGCAAGCAAGATACAACTAGTATTTGTATTGAAATTTATATTTTATTAAATAAAAAAAATACTATAATTATGTTAATCATTACCCAAGAAACATGCAATGTATGTGCATTTGAACATCTTTTTGTATAATGCCTCTAGGAAGCAGCGTAAACAAAGATGGCAATCCTCCAAAAAAAAGAAGGCATTTTGTGTTCTGCAGTCTGCAAACTTGGACTAGATCTTCGTCGTTTTCGATGGATCACTTTGAAGTTGTCTGTGAAACTCGAAAACCATGTTTCATAATGACAACCGATTCCGATTCTGTGAACCGCAGAACAAAAAATACCTTCTATGTTGCAACTAAATCATGTGAAAACTAAGAAATAAAAGTAAGCTATTAAAATGTCTAATTATAAAAAGAAATACCTGCAATTCAGATCTGTATGGAGAAGGATGAAAGCCAGGTGTTTCAGTAGTGTTTTTAGTTTTGTTTATATCACCTGGATCACAGTTAAACGATGGACTACTGTATGAGAAAAACAATTATGAATATAAATGCAGAAATTGCAATAAAAGAATTTAAAATAATGATTATTAATTAAATATAATACCGATTGATTGTTTGTCTTGACCAATGCTCCAATGTAATCAGAAATACGTTAATGTTAAAAGGAGTTTAAGGAGTGAAATTGCGTATAATTTCAGAATAAACCTACATAAATAACTAAATGCTTTCAATATAACACACATTTACTGCTAAACACACCATAAATAAATATTTTACAGTTAAATTTCAGATTAAAACTTAGTAGATATTTGTGCGCAGTACCTACGGCGTCATTAGGTGTTTCTTTTTAAGCCAATCATTACAGTTGGGCGATTGTTAAGTTTTGTTAGGTAGAATGAAAAATAGATTTAGAAATTAATGCTATATTTTTATTTGTGTATAAAAAAAATTTTATTTAAAAGCAATTGGACACAGCCATTACATATTAGATGCATGTGGATCTTTAAATTTTATTCTGCAAGTAAATATTCTATTGTTTCCTTTCTTACTAATGTAACCTAGTACTAATGTAACTTGGTGTAAAATCGGCATTATATTTTACAAAAATATTACACTTGTGATTATAACGACGACTGTTTAATTAGGTGATCATTTTACCTTGAAAGTGATGATTGTGATGAAGAAGTGGAAAGTGAACCAGGAATAGAGAAGGCAGAATCACTGCTTGTAACACCAGTACCAGGTAGTTGTAATGTACTCGGCGGTTGAAATACTGCTCGGTGATCAAAAAGAACTTGGCTGTATCCTGTTTCTTCCATATTCATTCCTAAAAAGACATTTAAATATGTAAAGATTTACACCACGCCTTATTCTTTTATTTACATATATTGCATTACGTACAAATACTTAATGATATAAAATTCGATTTTTCTGAAAAGCAAACGAGACTAGTTTTCTAATAGAGTGAAGTAAAACAGAATTATTATTAAATTACTCTCTAATTCAGTAATTCAAAACATTTCAACTCTTGCCACACATTATTATTAAATATTTCGAGAATAAACAGGTCAATTGCAAAGGTATTTTCAGGGAAAGTCAAAATAATGAAATCTTGTTAATATTAATATCAAATTCTAACCTGCTATTAGTCCAACCGGAGAGAAATCCTATTTTTTTCAATATTTCGTCATACATTTTGCAAATTTGTCTGATGCTTCTGTTAGTGTCGAAATTGCGTGAAAAATTTTTTGATTTCTTTTATTTGGGAGGAAATTCCTATCATGCGAGCACTCGTGTAAACCATTTTTTCTGGTTTATTTAGCATTTAACAGTCGCTAATGATCGCCGTAGTCAATCCACAGTTAAACATTAATATCCAATTATAAATTATTTATATTAAATTACTCGGTGTAAAAGTATGACTATATCTAAATTAATTGCTCTGGAAGTGAAGATTGAGTGGAGGTCTGGGTAGAATCATTGGAAATGCTTCTGCACGGTGAGTGAAAGTTATGGATTAAAGTCCCACTCCGGGACGATTCTTTTCTTTCGGAAATTAAAAGTTAATTTATTATAATTATTAAAGTTATCACAAGATATTGACCTAACTGCCTACCTCTAGTCAAATAAATTAGCCTTATTACAGATCAATAATATGACAAACTGTTTTACATTAAAAAATTCTCAACCGCATTGAAGTGAATCTGCGGAAATGGAGACCACGTAAATGGAAGGGTCACCGTACATTCCTGTATTATAATTATTACAAACAGATTTTATCTATCAAATATAAATATTAAAACTAACTTTGATTGTAAATTTCCATTCCATTTTGTCCAAATCATGTTTGATCTTATATGAAAAATAATTATATTAATTTTAAACACATCCCAACTATCTTTCAGATTCCTAACAAATGCAAAGGATAATTATGATTTAAAAAAAATACCATAATGCGATGGCAGATTTAAAAATAACTTCATATACGTAAGATCTAAGAACATAGTTTAAAGGTTGGAAGAATATAATTACAACATTGCCAATAATAAAGCAGCGACGACTCTAGCCCGGTATAAGAAAACACCCAGAGTGTTGGTTCAATGTGACGCCGAGTTAATTAGGTAAACACTAGCTACCGATAAACTTAGAACACTAGAAATGTGGGAAATAAATAAGAACTCCTGTCAGGAGAAATGTATAAGTAGAAAAGATGTAGTAATGATTTCTTCCATTTGTAAATCACTCGTAGAAAACTGTTGTGTGACGATATGATATAACAACGTAGTTATGCAGAGCCTAAACATTAGTCAATATTATATTATTTTGTTTTCTATGATATAATTTGAGATGTTGGGGGTTTAAACATTTAATTCTAAATCATTTTTAACATTGAAGAACTAGTGACGTATAAAAGAATGAATTTGAAAAAGATTTTCAACTTACATGGACAAAAAAGTCTTCTATGCCGGCCCCCTGAACAAGCCCAAAAACGTCTGTAATTTTTGTTTTGCAACAATTTTGGTACCAGAAACATATGAAAGGACAGTTTGCATTCAATTTTTGATTTTATATGTTAACAATAATTAAATTTTTATCAATATTGCTTCCATAAATAAACTGTATTTAATAATTTTACTTTAATAGCATCTTATTTTTATCTATATTTATATTTCACAAAGAAATTGTATAATGTAAATCACGATCATCTTATTTGCTAACAATTCTATTTAAATTGTATAATTTAAAAATCAAATTTTTAAACACTTTTTCCTCATATTCTAACGTATCTAGAACATCATTTGTATTTTTGAATGATTCAAAAAACTTTTCGTCGCTCGTTTGTAGAATACAGTAGAACCTCGATTATCCGCCCTAATTGGGGACTGGGGTTGGTCGGATAATTGAAAAGTCGGATAACCGAAAAGTATGAAAAAATCCATTACAGTAGAGCCTCGATTATCCGACCCAATTGGGGACTGGGGTTGGTCGGATAATTGAAAAGTCGGATAACCGAAAAGTATGAAAAAATCCATTATTAGTGTAGTATATTATTATATCCCATGTAATTAGTATATCGCTATTAACCTATTTTGCGTTGAATTTTCATCAATGTTAAGCTTAACAAAAATTTTTTAAAATAATAATCGTCGCTATTGTATCGTTAAAAATTAGAAAATTAAGCTTTGTTTAAATACTGGCTCCCTTTCATGGTCGAATGAGTGTTGCCAGCTAAAACACATAAAAATAATGTTAAAGTAGCCGAGACATAGCCAAATATTGTAGCGCCACATCACTAGTGGACATTTGAAATTTGCGACTAGGACGGTCGGTTAACCGAGGGGTCGGTTGATCGGGGGGGGGCGGATAATCGAGGTTCTACTGTAATGTTCACGGACCAAAACTTGTTTGTTTTTAAACTGATTATTACTACAGACTTTTATTAAAAATTTGTGATTTCAAAATAAATTTACGATTTAAAACTTTCGGTCTTTACAGTAGATGATATAAAAAGTCATATTTTCAATTTTCCTGTTATGAAAAAGTATTTGTTTCCTTCAAAATTAAATGTTATATTTTAGAAACTTTTCATTTTTCAAAACAGGAAGTATAATAAATGATAAAGTTCTAATAATAATTATACAGTATTTATAAGATATGATCTGTGCTAAATTAAAATGTATTATACATAAGAAATTACAATTTTATTTTATATTTACTCAGTTTATCAAGCAATGAAATTTCTTAGTAGTAATAAATCTTGTCTACGTAAGACGTTTAAACTCGAGTATGCCTTTTACGACCATTTTAAGTTTGTTGAAATACACAATATCTGTCAAGTTTCTCAGAATCTATATTTTATATTAATAGTTAATGCTCTAATAATAGCAATAATAATTTATAATTAAATTACTGTATTTATGTTAATTATTATCTGAGAAGTATTCAATGAGAATAACCGTCCAAGTTTTGTCTCCCATCCACATTTAGATTGTCTACTACCTCTAGGAAGAGCCATAAACCAAAATGGCAACTCCACAAGGAGAAAGTGTCTTGTTTCCACAGTTTACAAATAAGAATTGCTTGTCATCATGCAACCTGAGTAATCTGTGAGAGCCATAGAATTCACAGGAGTGATGACAGATATACTGTAGCAAGTGGAGAAAGAATTTGAGTGTCGAATAAATCTTCCGTGTGACAGTAAGTGTACGTGTGGAAAATTGTAGTGGACAATGTAAAGCTCAGATCGTTTTCTGATGTTTAATGTATGTTATGACATTCTAGAATAATAATTAACATAATTACGATAACATAAAATGGTAGCATTCTTTTTGAAGATCCAGTATATATATTTTACAGATATTTAATTTTGTTAAGAACTTTATTTTGTTTAGCTAGCATCATTAATTTTGGAACCACAAAGGCTAAAACTTAAAATTTTTTTAGTTTTAGAGCCTAATAAACTATTCAAATCACCTCATTCATTTACTTAATTGAAAGTTAAAGATCCTAACAGGCAGTCTCCACGTCGTTTATCTTGTTCCATATTTGTTAAAAGCATAAATGCATAAATCCAGACCATATGCCATTTGTTTGTCCAAGTTTTATTTGTTTACTAATCATCACAAATTATTGTCTTTTGTCGCTCATTCAATTACATGCACTAATCTTCACACAATCATCATATTGTTCGTCTGTCATTACATCGATGATTTTTTATTAGCCCACAGAACACATTAATTACCATTCTCGTAATTTAGAATGTACTAGAAGTCAAAATCATTGATTTAAATATAATTCCATACCTAAAATACGTGATTATCTGAACTACCTAATCCCATTTCTTAAATTGTCTTTATCTTACTTTATTTATAATAAGTTGATACCTGTGAAATCGCCACTTATGTCGCTATTAACCATGTCTGACACAAAGTCACTCAGGGAAGAATAAGATGAACTGGTGCTGCCAGCTCCTTCACTGTCACTTCCACTTTCATCTACATTAAAATATTAAAAGTCAGAATTAATTAATATATAATGAAACATTCTTTGTTAACATCTAACTTAATACAACTTATACAGCTAACTGTCACATTAATGTTACGTGTAATAAAAATACAAGTATCTCTTGATTGACATGATTAATTAATCCCTCGGTGTTACTATACATACATCAAAATCATGTTAATCGAATATAACAAACAATGCTAAAATTATAATTTGTCACAATTAATTACTACACTGTTCCGCTTGACGTATCCAACTTGATTTTCCTGTAAAAATTAACAGTTAAAGATATAAGTTCAATAAAAAATCACGTCTACATGTGTGCTCCAGCAGTCCCGGTGACATTATCAAGGCGGTAGGCAATTTCCTGCCATGTACGCTGCAGCATGACCTGTCTCACAGTGGCAATGGCTGTGATGATGCACTCCTAAAAATCCTGAAGGTCTCTGACCGAAGTTGCATAAACCATATCTTTCACAAAATCCCACAGAAAGAAATCTAAGGGAACCAGATCAGGCGATTTTGACAACCATGCTATTGGACATATTAGACCACGACCTATGCTTGTGACAAAGCCATGACTGGACAATAATACTCACAACTCTTCTATGAAACTTGCAGTACAAGAAAAAAATCTCTCTAAAACTTAATGAACATTTCCATCAGATACCACTTGTTGCTTTTATATATCTTAAACCATTCATTTTTTTATGGCAAATTTAAATTCGGTATGGAGCAATGGTGCATGGAAGGAATAATGACATTCTCTTAGTCAGAAAACTATCTTCAACACTTGCATAGTAAATTAAAGGCTTGTTAATTAAAACTCTTCCTGCATATATTAAGGGATTTCCGTAATTATTTTCTAGGCATTAATCAGATCCAGCATTAAGCAAAACCACATTAACCTGTACTTAAAATCTTACAAGAAAAATTTTTTATGGTGAGGAATTAACAAATCGACAGGATATAAGAAATGAAATGTAACATCACAAACACTTAACCCTTTATTATATTAAGAACAATTCAAATTAAAATGAAATTTGTGTCATCGGCGTCCAAGTTTCCGTCAATAAAATGCAGATATTACACTTTTACAATGAGAACATCTCAGCAAGCACACAATTGCTTGTTAAGATATAATACATTACGTGAAAAATTAAGTCAAATTAAATTGCAGTATAAAACATGCATAACTGTCAAATAAAACACAGTAAAAAACAAATAACGTGACATTAAGAACAGGATTTATCTGTCAAAACAAAAAAAAAAAGAAATATATTATTTAAAAATATAAGATAACGGTAAGGACAACTATTTCACAAATGAATTCTATATTACCATTCCGATTAACTTCCACAAAAATAATTTTTTTTTTTTTATCTCTAATTTTTAAAGATAATCTTTATATATAATTTTTGGGAATTAAATTAAATAGTAAGTAGATTTCATCAACAAAATACCATTATCTGATATTTATCCTTCTATTAGTTAACTATTCTTGCCCTTGCAGCAAAAGTCAAGCTAGACTCGACAACATGCTATTTTTCCATCATGAAATGCCAATGCAAGTACATTGTGACGTTTTGGCACAATGCAATTGTCGGAATCTGCTGTAACATAAATCGACCTTTACCGATTAACTTACGATAACCAAAATACGAGGGCAAGTCAAAAATTATCCATATTTTGCCTGTAGAATTTATTGTAATCAACCTTCAGCAAGTAAAATATATCATTTCTTGACATAATCAATGCTTTTCAATACGCTTGTCCATCTGTCCACAAGTTTTCCTACTCCCTCATTAGAAAATGTTTTTGGCCGAGCTGCGAACCACGAATGCGCCGCTGTCTTAACATCGTTGTCTAGATGTGAATCTTCGTCCTTGTAGAACTTCTTTTAGGGGACCGAGCAGGTGATAGTCCAATGGGGCAAGGTCAGGAGCATAGGGAGAATGCTCTAGCACCTCAAAACAAAGTTTTTGGAGTGCATCGACAGTGTGGGATAGCCCGCAAGTGGCTACAATTATTATTTATTATTACTTCATCTAATTATTATTTAATTATTACTTCATCTAATACTCAATGGAAGTATTTACAAAACACAAAATTCTTATTCAGATGTTATTTCTTTGGAAATTCTTATCTAAAAATAAGATAATAAATGATGTTAATGCTTGAAATCTCTCTAAAATTTTTCTAAACTTAAAATTAATGAATTTCATTGATTATAAAATAGCAAAGGTCAAAATCAAACATCTAAAAATACCAAAACAAGTGATGCTACTACCACCTGCCGTCAAAAAATTCAAGCCATTAAATATCAGAAAAAATCAATTTCAATGCTATTTTGTAGTAAGAAACGTACGATTACAAATATATTACATTTGGATTAAGAAAACATTTATTTTATCTTCTCTTTGTCTATTATCTTCTATATATTATAAATGACAGTTAGTGTTTACGACTTTTAAAGACTGCTTGGACTTAAATTTTAAAATAAAACTAAATGAGCAGTTATTTTATTGCGATGTCGTCGTGATGTCGGCTGCAATTTTTATTTAAATTCTGTATCTGATCCGGATTTAGTGACGTCTTGCCCCTGTACCTCATACTTCTCCTGATAACAATCGAGTAATGCTAGTCATATATCTAACCCCATTCTCGAACAAATTTTCAACCGAAATCAGGTGACTTCCGGTCCACGCTGGAAGTTCGTGTATTGTTAATCGGGATCTCCAGCCGCTAAGCTTTCATTTATCTGTGCAAATTTTAAAATTTTAAACTGTATCAAATGTTACAATTCTATAAGAAATTTTTTTTAATTTATTATCTAAACACTTGAAATTCTGTCATGCTCGATGACAGAACACTTTTTATGAAAAAGTAAAGATTGAAGAATTGAGAATAGAGATTTCAAAAAATTCAAGAAGAGTTGCTAAATGCATTATAGACAAAAATAATTTACACTTCACACCGGGAATGTTACAGAAGAGAAACCACACTGAAACGGCATTAAAATCGCACATTTTAATAAAAATTGCAAGTACTTTCAATGTATCATATTACAGTCGTCATCGGGCAGAAAAAACTGAATGCGATTTTTAAACTTAAGAATAGAACAGAACATACAACAGTCTTTATTTAAATGTATAAAGGCACTCGACTGAATTACCAAATCTTCATAAAAAATAATAATGATGCATTAGACTTTATTACATGATAATGTTAAAAAATTTGATTTTACTGCCTGATGACGATGACTGTAATACATTAAAAATACTTGCAATTTTTATTGAAATATGTGATTTCAATGCTGTTTATCTTCTATAAATGTTACTAAAATTTGAAAGTTTCAATTTTTTGTCTTAATGTAACAGTTTTAACTTTATTTTAAATTATAAAACATTCCGACATATTAATGGAAATTTTATTAATTCAAAATTTAAAAGACAGAATGGATCCTTCTGTTATATTACTATTTTTATTGCTTTTCTTCCCGAGTTTTGGAGACAAATTCATTTATTACAGTAATAAAAGTAGAAACTGTACATTATTCATTAAATTACATAAAAATCTAGTCTACCTGTAGTTAAATCATCATTTTGAGTAGCAGTTGTAAGGGCATTGCCGAGTGAACTGTTTTCATTCCAAACATTAAATCGCAATGGTTCTAACTGATTAGTATACCATTTTGCTTTGTCTCCAACGAGCGTTGGATCGAATACACCTAAAAGTTCAAAAATACGTCAATTATGTGAAAATAAAATAAATAAATAATTGAATCTTAATTCTTACCAGTATGAACTCTTTGAAATGATAAATTTGTAGGACAGAGAGACCATTCTGCAAAAAATTCTACAGCCTACATTTAAAAATATTAGTTCGTTAATTTTTTGCAATTCAAATTTGTCGATATCATATTTTTTAAACAATTCTCTTATTAATTTATTGTTGTTTATAAAGACGTTAAACCCGTTCGAAATTTACCGACGTACCTGTGTTCGTACAAATTTACTGAGAAAATAAGACGCTTTTGGCCGTGATTGAAGGAAACTGTTAATTTGAAAAGCAACAACTGGTCTCGGATAAAGCCGAAGTGTCCGCGTGTGTTCCGTAAAATTTGCAAGCAAATTTGGAGAATTAAAAAATCGCACCATAGCAATTCGTGTTGCTATATCAACAGAATCCACATCATTGCCATAAATTAGAGGATTAAATCCAGTTGTCAGCGGTGGCGGCGGAGGCTCTTGGGCGACAAGCCGATTTACCGCTCCAGGTTGAATTTTATCAAGATTTTTGATTGGCTGCGGGCTCATACTCATCGACGCTAACGCCTGAAATTTACGGATTGAAAGTAAACGTTTCTCAGAATTATATTAAATCAATGCATTTCGCATTTTTGAATTTCAAATCGAAATAATTAAAACTTTACTTGTTTCAAATGATTCTGAAGAATTGTGGCTTCTGGTTCGGGTAACGGAGGCAAGTCTTCTATACCAGTTGGCTTAACAATCTGGAAGAGTTTATTAATGAAGTTTTATTATAAAAATTACAAATATTAAAATGAAATTTATAAAACCTCTAAATAGGGCAAAATTATTTTACCTTATTAGAATCCAAATCTACTAGCCAAACATCATCGGGAAGTTTAAAGTTACGTTTAAACATCAAAAAACTTGCGGGAATGCCAATTATATATGGGGTAGGTGCAAGCAATAACTGAAAACGATTTATATTTATTTAAAATAAATATTAATAATGAATTTTATAATTAAAAAAAAAATAGCATTAATTAACTATCAAGTGAAGAAATCGGGAAAATAAGGGACCTAAGTCAAAGAAAATTTCATGACAATACAATAATATACTCTTTTTAAAGTAATTTTAAATATGTGGCATGAGAATAATTTTAAAAAGCATCTTTGTCTTGTTCAGAGTGGATGGCTGAACTGGAGAAAGACGAGTGGGGTGCTGTGTAATAAGAAAATAAGTTGCAAAATGAAAATAAGATTATACAGAACAGTGGTATGACCTGCGATGATGTACAGCACAGTGCTGAGACGTGGGCAATTACAAGAACCCAGGAAAAGAAGATAGAGACAGCAGAGATGAGAATGCTGAGATGGATGTGTGATGTGATGAAGAAGGACAAGAATTAGGAATGATTGCATAAGAGGAACAGTTAAGGTGAGTCCTATAAGAAATAAAATGCAGGAAAGTAAATTAAGATGATTAGAACATGTAGAAAAAAGAAGTGAAAACTGTGTTGGAAAGAGGATTGAGAAGTTGGGAGTGACAGGGAGGAGGAAGAAAGGAAGATCGAAGCTGAGATGGAGAGACAAGGTGGCAGAGGATTTGGGAGGAGAGAGGATGCCCTGGATAGAGAAAAGTGGAGAAGACAGATTAAAGATGGGAATGCTGACATCATATAAGCATGGGAAAAAGCAAAGACAAAGATGATGTATGGCTTGTACGTCTATCTCATCTTAACCACCTGTATTCATTTGTGTCTTCTTCAGGATCCACATTTTCTTCTTCCATTTCACTAAGTATATCCCCAATAATATCAAGATAAAATTGTCAATTAATAGATGAAATATAACGCAGAAGTTTAAATCCTATATCTTCCTCATTTAGCTTTACTGGAACATTATAGTTTTGTTTTAGGTTTCTTAGTTATTAGTAGCTGATTCTTGCAAACTTCCCTTTTTCCAATGCTCACTTCTTTAAACAGACCAATTAGAGTAAGTTTAACGAATATGAAACTTTGGTGTTGGGAATCAAACTAAAAGCATCATACCTGGCTGAATCCGATTGGTTGTTTGTCCATAGTGACGTTTATTTTATTCTACAGTCACATCCTCAAATGTAAAAAACTTATTCATTCATCATCACAATTTAAAAAGGATATTTGACTTTTGCACCATATCAAACCATTCCTCTGGACAAAATACTTGCTTAAATAACTTATTTTTGTTTGTTTCTCAATAGAAGTTTGTATCTGACTCCATAAAGGTGTGACCTCGTATAAAAAGTCTATTCTCTGTTGTCTTATATACTTTTTCTCATTCTAGTTGCAACTACAATGCGATTACAATCCAGTTTTTATTTTGTCCACCATCAACTGTCTATCTGTAAAGACAAGAAGATAACATGATAAAGACAATCTAGTCATCGTGTATTTAAAAGTACACTTGGTATTTCTATGCTTCCTCTTTTACAACAGGTTCAGTCAACGAACATGCAACCTTTCCGGTAACACAATTGTGGATACTGACATTTTAAGTCAACAGTTGTCGAAGATAAAAAGCTAGACCAACAGTCAATGACAGTGTTGGTAACACTTTTGTAGATCAGAACAAATGATATTTGTTTTATTTTCTTAATTATTCTTTATCTCTTGTTGCGTAGCTTCTGTCTGTATTTGGTTTGCAAACTTCTAACTGCAGCCACACCTTTTATTGTACTTTTACAATATTCAGTAAATTGCATGTGTGACAAAAGTCACTCCTTAGCAATTTGCAATTTGAACTCTTACTTTCAGAGTTAAATATCATTCTGTAACAGTCTTCTTTCACAGGTTCAATATTTTATCACACAACCATTTGGTGTAATGATCTTTGTAAAGACATGCTACATTCAAGTCACAGTTTAAATAAAGTCTGTTCAGAATTCTGTCTGTATAATGGCTAACATATTTTGGTATGCGGATACGATGGACTGATCTCACTAAATCCGCCAAAACTTTGTTTTTCAGTCATCTTTTCTGTGTTCGCCTTCCTTCTAAAGTTTGCTTTGCCGAAGGTTTCACATACTTGAGGTATACAAACCTCATATTTGAATATCAATTCTATTTACTTTGAATTAATATATTATTGTGATTCTTGAACTTTGTTTTTATTCTTATAATTTATTTCCTTTTAAATTATCTTTATTGTTGAAAATAAATAGATATTTTGTTTCTTAAATGTTTCTAAGTCCCAAAATGAACTGAATATTCTTTGTTGTGTACCTTTAAGTCATTTTCTACACATCTTGTAATTACAAGGTTCTCTCTAGTCAATCTTGCTTTGTTGTACTGACTCTTTAAATTTATGTAAGAATATTCTAAGCTTCATTGCATAGCTTCTTCCTTTTTTTTAAAAACATGAACTATATAAAATGACAGGTACTTAATTCCAAGAGAAATTTTTTGTTTATTACACAACAGTAACAATAGCATTGTAATCTGACTGACTTCCAACCCAGGAAAGAGCATTTTATAATGGGGTAATAAAACACTTTGTGGTTTGTTTACTTTAGAAGTGGGTGTGACATCCCACTTGCCTGGCACCCTCCTAAGAGGATAATAAAGTTTTACTACCCTGACCTTGAAAGATAACCTATAAATCTTCGATTATGAACAAACCTGATGACATCTATGAAACTTGAGGTAATTCATAGCAAGTGGAATTGTGTGTGTTTATTTTTCTGTATTTTTGGATCAAATTACATTATTTTAAAACGTTAAAAACACAATTTCTTTAATCCGTGAGTATTTTATACATTGTTAGAAAGAAGACACAGTGCAGAAATTGAAGATATTATTGTAGTTTCTCATGCAATGCCTGTAATTTCATAATTTTAGAAAAAAACTGCTGTCTGTAAGATGCCATGCAACCTATGTCCAATTCACACATCCACTCCAGGGCTAAAAAATATACAAATAACAATACACAGAAGACAAAAAAAATTAGTATTTTTAAGTGAATTTTTGAAATTTTCTGTAGTTCATGTCATAGCAGTTGAAAACACTGATTCAAACTGATAAAGAGCATTTATTTTTATGCCTTTATTTCAGTGAAAACCAATTAAAATCTTTATTTAGAAATAAATTATTTGAAAACAACAAAAACTAAGACATCATAATTTTATATATACAGTAGAGCATCGATTATCCGAATCAATTGGGGACCGGGGTTGTTCGGAAAATCGATTTTTCGGATAACCAATTATGTACAAAAATTACATCCCACATTGAAATTCATTCAAATCCTGGCACCTCCTTAAGGCTGCTATACACCATGGGTTAATCCTCAAAGGAGTAACCATGCATGCCTGATTTTGAGTCATTCCTAGATGTGTAGGGGGGAAAATTTAACAGTTTCGGCAAACTGTACCGACCACCCGAGTAGAATCGGCCATATTCTTCAGGTTAATTCTCAAAGGAGTAATCATGCATGCCTGACCTTTATAATTTTTGGTAGTTTATGGGGGACAATTTAACAGCTTCGGCGACCTGTATCGACCACCCGAGTAGAATTGAAAAACCATTTGATTTTCCTGGCACAGTGTCAGATTGCGTAGGCCGACCTAAACGTGTGTGAGAACAATGTCTCGTGAATGTTTGGAAGAATTATTTTCTATAACCTTATTAACTTTTATTATTTACAACCTAAAAAATTAATTTTTCAGGTTATAAATTATTTTC